GTGGCTCACTCACCCTGTATAAGTAAAAAATTAAAAAATTTTAATATTCCTCGCTCTATGCATCTTAACACGTTGACGCGATTGCTATAGCATTCATTTTCATTGTGACGTGGTAAGCCACATTATCACGCATTAAATTCTATATAATTATTATTTTTTTAAATTATTATGCATTTTAATGTAACGGCCGACTGGTTCATTCTGCATTTTCATTTTATTTTGTCATTGTGTGTTTAAAAATTTCTTTCAGCACATTCCATAAATTAAGTAGAAATGCAACATTTGGCATATGCAAATCACCTGTTTATTTTTGTAACTCATTAAAATTTGTACTGCCCGCGAACCTGTTAAAACTATATGTTGTCGACATGTAGCCGTATTGAGTAATACGATTTAATATTAATATATGTGACGTTGGAGAGATAAAAAGAATATAAATGGCAGAAAAGGAAGGTTTGTATACGAAGAAAATAGATAAAGAAAAGAAAGTATCTTATGTAAGTATGCGATCCCTATAATTTATGATTTATTGCAAATAATTAATTTAATTGTGTGAAATTACTAATAGAAATATTAAAATTCTTTTGCATAATTTAAATTTAAATTTTAAGTAAAAAGAGCTTGAATATTATTCCCAGCGATAAGGTCGATAACGACGCTAAGCTGGAAATATTTCAAGGTTGAAAATCGACGGTGCGAACTTTTTACCGAGCCGAACGATCGATATTTGTCAGAAAATTGATCGTTAGCGGCGCGTTCGGTCGAAAGTCGACGTTCCCGTTCGCTGGCAATGCGGAAGAACGCGCGCGCTCCAAGGAATCGTAAAAGGAAATCGAGCAAAACGACGGCCAAGTTTCCTGCTCGAGCCGCCTATTCCCGTTCGATAGATCACTCTTCCTGATCCAGATGACAAACCACCGAGAGAACCCGACCGAGCGAGAAAATCGCGATTTTCACCGTGGCCGGAATCGCGGTCGCGCTCCGATCGAGAATCGATCGTCGACGCGTGACCGAATCGAGATCGTCGGAGACGCGCGTCTCGCCGTAAAATAACTTATTGTCGGATTTTGCGACCGACAACGTTTCGATTCGTACCGTGATTCTGATTTATTCCTATACAAAATCGACGTTCTCGTTCACACGACGCGTTAAAGGCCTCCGATACATTAGTTGGTCCTTCGTCCCGATATTGAGGATTATACTCGTGGTATATTAAATACGTTACCATTGGAATTTGCATACCTTTCGTGTTCGATTTTATGCATGTAAACGATCATTTAAAAATATGTGTACTTATCGAGAAATAACGAAATTTGTGTAAACAATAACGCTCGAAAGAGAAATGGCAATAGGAATAGCTTCGTGTAATTTAGGCTTGGCAGTGAATGGGTTGACCCTTTCCACTATGAAGTCACCTCTGGCGTGACAGTTCGTATAGTTAATATAACAAATTAGTGAGAAGCAGTTTTATTTAAAAAATGTATTGAAATTATGTGTATGTACGTAAAAGTCTTGCACGTGGTTCTGGCGTGGTTCTAGCGATCATCGGTATGCACTACTCGAACCCGTGTTTTCAGATCAAAGGACGGAACCACCTCGAGCAATCACGGCAAACCAACCCAGCGAGGACTACCACAAAGATACCGATCTAGAAACGGTCCCGTACGAGTGAAAGTTAATCGAGAATTCGCGAGACAGGTACGAGTTGATAACGACAGGTTGAACGATCGACGAAGGGGATTACGAGGGAGCGCAAACTCTAGATCGTGTTAGAGAGGTTTAACCTCGGATCTCTGAGCAGTGCACGGGGAAAACCATTGCTCGCCGATAACTCCGACGTATGAATTACCGAGGACTTACAGGGGAAGGTCCCACCGGGAACAAGTTTCAACGATCAATGAGATTTTGCTCGGTGATATAGACCTTGGAATAATCAACTCAATTATTAGAGAAAACTGTTCTTCCGAACGTACATCGATACTTCACGAGATCCTTAATCCACAACAATGGTCTCCCTACTCGCCTTTGATCCGTAAATTGGGAAACTATGTTTTTTAACCCCATGCCGTGCAATGACATGTCCGACTCGTTATAAGTTCTTAATGTCAAGTTTCACAATCATAAGGCTGCTCGGTCATCAAGTCTTATACAGGGTGTCCGATCAACCCTGGGAAAAATTTTAATGGGAGATTCTAGAGGCCAAAATAAGACGAAACTGAAGAATACCAATTCGTTGACGGAGGCTTCGTTAAAAAGTTATTAACAATTAAATTCAAAAATTTCAAATCGATCTAAAAGAATTATTTTCGGTTGCGGGGGTCGGTTGCAATCATTTTTGGTGAATACACATACCTCCGAAATCCTACCCACTTTCTAGAAAAGAATTGATGAAGGTGTGAAATTTTTCCATAAAATTAAAAAATTTCAAATCGTTCTGGAAAAATTATTTTTGATTACAGAGGTCAATTATAATCATTTTTGGTGAATGGACATACCCCCGAAATCCTACCCACTTTCTAGAAAAAAATTGGAGAATGTGTGAAAGTTTTCGACAAAATTAAAAAATTTCAAATCGTTCTGGAAAAATTATTTTCGGTTGCGGGGGTCAATTACAATTATTTTTGGTTAATATAAATACCCCCGAAATCCTACCTACTTTCTAGAGAAAAATTCGAGAATGTACCGAAATTTTCGACGGAAAAAAAAAGTTTCAAATCGAACTGGAAAAATTATTTTCGGTTGCGGGAGTCAATTACAATCATTGTTGATGAATAGACATATCCTCGAAATCTTGCGCATTTTCGAGAAAAAAATTCAGCACGGGCGGAACTTTAAACGTTAATAACTTTTTAACAAATTGGTATTCTTGATTTTCGTCTTATTTTGGCCTCTAGAATCTTGCATTAAAATTTTTCCCAGGAGTGGCCGAAAACCCTGTATATGGGAATTTTATATATTTGTATGCATATATTACAATACAAACGACGACAATGAATGTTGGGAGATAATTGCCGAGTCTGAGCGTTAAACGGGAGGGCCTTTGACTCCCTGCCATAAGCTCCCCACTATGCACACATATGTATATTGCGACTGTCCACTTTCTACACCATACGGCAGACTAATGTCAGTACAGGAGATAATCTTTTTCAGAAAATTATACAGTAAAATTTATTAATCGTTTGAAAAAAAAAATGCTTCAGATATTTTCAAAGCAAAATTCTTCGTATTTTCATGAAAAAAATAATATGTTCCCGAAAAAAAGCATTTATATACATTTTTTATAAATATTTAATTCTAATGTTTTAAAAAAGTAACGTTTTAAATTAAAGTTTCGATTGTCTCAATATGGACAAAAAAAGAGGTTCCTTTCTCTCCAAACTTTCATTGTTAGAGTTGAAAATTTTTAATTTTTTCCCTTTTTCAATTTCTGGCCACACAAATTTCTAGAGGTTATGTATCGAAGAATGATCACTAAACGTTCAAAATAATAGAACATTTTTCCAAAAAAAAATAGTCACTGGAGACATGCTAGCTATGCACCAGTCACAATATTCGATGCCTTTCACAGCTAGAATTAGATGCTAGTTGAAGCAAACAGTAGTAGGATCGTTTTGTACGTGTCACAATGATTCTGCAAGAAGACGCAAAAAACCGTCTAACTACGGCCAGAATCACGAAGATGACCTATTTGCAAGAATAATATAAAACCATTTACAAGAACTCTCCTTCGTTATAAATAGACAATTCTAATCAAGAATTTAATGTTCCGTATAATTATAATTACTTATAATATATCTAATTACAATTTTCAATGGCGGATAGAGAAGAAAACAAAAAAAAAACATTCGAAAATCTCACTCTTATAAATTACTCCGGTTGCCCTAAGTGCAAATAGCTAAATTGCGCAAGAATCGCAGGGGGTTAAACGAAATATAGAAGAGGGTACCCGGATACCCGATTACTGACATAGGGGCCGCATATCTCATCAGACTGTTCGCAAAACAACGATCACCCCGACTCAGGTAATTTTAAGCTCTACCGCCGTGCAAAGTCTCATTGACAAGTCAGACTTGCACCTAGGGGCTTTCCTTTTCCCTTGTTAGGTTCGAACGGTTCGCGCGGCTGCACGGCCGTCGCGCGTAAGTGCGTGTGTCGTATGGCGAAGCGTAATCCGCCACCATATGACGTGACACACACCGTACAACGAGAACCCTCGGCGGCTCTCGTGTTGTGGAAAAATCAATAACAAGCGTGGTCTGGCGTGGCGCGTCACTCTCTCAGGTGCTCCGGCTGCGAGGAAGGAAGCCTGTGCTAACCAGGCTAGGCAGCCAGCCAGCCAACCGTCCGATCGAGCGGACGATGGAAACGAGTCACCTGCGGCACACTGTTGTGCGACGCGCACGATCGAATTCCCGCCTTCTCCACACAAACATCCACCACGGTTGCGACTCCGCACATGCTACGAGTGGCAGGGGGAAGAGAGGGGAACCGAGGAACCGTGCCCACACACAACTCACACGCGCGCACATACACTGTTGGCGTGCGCGTGCGTAGTCCTGCGTACGTGTGTACCATCGCGACGAAAGGTTCGCGCGGTGACTCGCGCATGCGCGTCCCGTGCCGTGCACGAACCGTGAGGAGAGAAAGAGACCGGTGACGGAAGAGGCGAAAGAGTGGAAGGAAGAGGGAGAAAGAGAGCGAGAAGAACGCGACAGAGAGGGCGCGAGTGAAACGGACAATATGGCGAGCGTGGGAGTGGGACAGAGGGTGAGCAAGGTAAGTTGATAGGAAGGAAGGAAGGAAGGAAGGATGTCGATGTTCTCCGTGCGTATGTGTTGGCGCGCGTGTGCTGTCAGAGCGAGAGAAACGGCAGAAGGGTGAAAACGAGGAAGCGATCGACTGGAAACGGGGAGGGTGGGGTAATATATAGGAGAGGAGTCGTGTGCGTGATGCGTACGCGCGCGTTGTTAACGATATCGCTGTAGCCTGTTACCACGTACCTCGTCTTCGCCGGTGGCCACCGTGTTGACGGAGTCCATACTCTGTGAGAGCGGCGCGTCCATGATGCAAGCGAGTTTGCTGGATGGTCCGGGATTTCCGGGTGCTGCGGTTCGAGCGGGTGGCGGCGATGAATCCACCGTATCCCGTCTCGGGCGTTTTAAAGCGGGCGGCGTTATGGTTGTACCGGCGAAGACGACAGGCGCCTCCAGGACGTATCAGTGGGGATAACCCTTTACTCGTGAGAAATTCAGGCGTTTCGCCCACTTCCTCCTGCTCCACCTTTTCCTTCTTTCTCCCCTTCTGTCGCTTCCTTTCGTTGCCTGCTTTCTCTCTCTGTCTGTCTCTCTCTCTCACACACACGCACACTCTCTCTTTCTCTTTCTCTTTCTCTTTCTCTTCGTTAGATTCACTTCTTCTTCCGCTTCCTGTTACGTTTCTTCTTCGTCGCCTGCTCCTCCGCCTCCACCGCCACCACCTCCTCCAGCCCTACAACAGCGCGGTGCTGCTATCGTTCTCGATGCACCTGTCACACGCTGCAAGGGCGACAGGAAAGACCAATGTAGAGAGAAAGTAAGAGAGCGAGGGGGGAGGCGGCAGAGAGAGAGAGACAGTCTGAGCAATACGTAGAATGTGATGTAGCCTGCAGGTGTTCCCACGCGTCTATTTTAGAGCAATCGATACACCGTGCCCATGGAGGAAGGCCGAACCCAGAGAACGTGCTCTACAGTGGTGGCTCGTTGACGACACTTGTTCATCTATTGGCGGATAGGCCCGATGCAGCGGGTAAGTTGCTGATCCTCTCTTCCTTGACGCGTCACGGTTCGTCGATGACCGATTAATCGTATCGGATAATCGATGGCAAGGAGGACGCGAACGACGACGGCGACGATTGACCGACGATCCGGACGTATCCGCGCGACTTGCGCGTAGACAGGTAACAGCGATTCGCGGGAGACGTTAAGCGCGTTTTTTCTTTTCTTTTTTTTTCTTGTCGGAGCGTGGCGCGTGCGACCGTTGTATATATTCGACCGTGGACTTGTGTATATTTGGTGTTTATATGCGTGTATGCTTGTGTGCGTGTCTGTCTGTGTATGCACGTAGAGACGGATTTTACGTGTGACGTGTGGAACGATTAACGCGAGAGACCGAGTGAAAGACGAGTCGATCGAGAGAAACGAAAAAACATGGACCGCGATTTAAATGAACAACACATCGGCCAGGCAAGTAAGAATAATAATAATATTGTTACGTAAGCACTACGACACGACTGGTACGCAGGTTGCCGATAGACTGACGGACTGCGAACGAGCGCGACGGTCGAGACGGGTGCGCGCGCGGGGTCGACTCCGCCGACGGCGCAGGGGTGGGGCGCGGTGGGGTGGCCCGCGGGCCACTGGGTCGGGGTAGGTGAGTGGGCGGCTTGGGGGGTGGGGGTCACGCACGAGGTACGACGAGGGGGTCAAGGGGCAAGGCACGCGCCTGGAGGGGACTCGCCCTCCCTATTCTACCTTTTCCTCCGACGACGCTGACGGCGACTCCGACCGAGGAAACTGAGCTCTATCAAACGGAGGCATCACCGAGTTCGTTAGGGGGCAAGAAAAAAAAAAAAAGAAAAAACGAAGGATTTTCCAGCCTCGTCGTATACTTCTTTCAATTCCGGGGGCACTCAAAGTTCAGGGAAATTATGTTGACAACCGCGTTGCTATGGACAGTTGATATAGCGCCTCTTAGCATGGCGTGTTTGGCAATATCCTTACCACCGTTCGACCCTTTACAAATTAATACGAAGATACGTAAATCTATACTGCGGCAGTTTTACCTCCACTTGCGGTTCATTTCATTTTCGTTGTAAACAATGTTAAATATATGTACCTTTTAAAACACTTTGTTCTCTTACGGTTTAACGTAAATAAAAATAATATTCTCCGAAGCTAAAAAATAAAATAATCCTCGAAGCGATGTAAGAAAATTTGATAACATTCTTCGACGATCGGTAGACACGCGTGACAAAATTTAAAATTTAAATAAGTTTACAAATATATCTCATGTTTTAGAGCATTCTAAATAAAGGACAGGCGCGTCTGGTACCGCAATGAACGTGTCGAGGCGCGGTACTTTTACCTGTAAGAATACTTCGATTCTTCGTTTAGGATCAAAACGTATCGTTCCGTTGAAAGTTGTTAAACGCGGCTTTTGAGAATGAAAAACACGCAGGTCAACGTTATACGGGCATTTACATTTTCCACGGGGTGCAGATGGCATCGAATTGTCGGCAGTTCGAGGGGTGGGGGAAGAAAGAGAGAGCTATGCGTGTTGCTCCGTTCTACTCGAAAAACTTCGTAACCATACGCTTTCCCCGTGACTAACAGGTGGAAGCCGTTTGGAACGTGCAGCTTTCCTCGAGATTAACAGGTGAAGGATGCTACTACTAGCCGTGTCGCGGATTATTTCGAACCGGGTCTAGAGAAACTGCCTTCGCGTAGAAAGCAGATGGACGACTTATACGAAACGTGTTTCAAATGGATCGCCATTCTCCTTTCGTTCGTCAACTTTAACACTTTGCACAATGCTGGTCGGGGGTTAATTAAAAGAACATGTACGCTACCTAACGCTAGGGTGGTTCGAAACTTATGATAAATAACTGTTTTCAACTCCTGAAATATTCTAGAAATAATATTCGACGAACAGTTATTTAGATGGACGTTACAAACGAGCAACATCGTATCGCAATCCACGTTTTATGCACGCTCAAAAGAATACCACATTTTACGGCCTCGTAGACTCCTATACCCCTTTGCACAGAAACAATTTCCCTTTACGAAGGAAATTCTCGCATGGGAGCGAATTAGGTCGTCGGCTATAGTAAATAATAACGGATGCGTGGTGTAACTTCGATAGACAGTAAGGTGTAGCGAAAAGAATGTATTATTGATGGGTTATAGGTCGAATTTATGCAAGGTACCACGGCAACAAGTAGTGCAACACTATACATTCACCCCCCGAGTTATTGGAAAGACTATATCCGTTACGATTATTATAAAAATCCATTGAATTGAAATGAAAATTATGCAGTGAATAAAATGATTTTAAGATATGTTTCCCTAACATGCGTGCTCTAAAATGTTCGTCCAAAATTAATACATAAAACTACCCAAACGCAGGTACGCCACTGCTTCAAACGGTGCGGTGTATTGAATTTTCACCCACACGGTATATTTATAATACTATTGTGTAAATTGTAGTACTGGGAATGTAATGAAAATTGTATTCTCTTTGAAACGCAAGTTTATCTTGCGGCGTACCTCCCGTACTCACCGCCAGAGGGCCCGTTCTCTCGCAAGCGCTCGACCAACCCTTCCATTCCTATATAAATACTTTTTGACCGGCTATCCAATATCTAGGCGTCATCAGGCCCTGCCAGGATTGCCTTACTGATGATGAATCCATTAGCGGGCCCAGGACCCAAACGCCAAGCCGCCCTACAATCTGTAAAAAAATTAAAATGTTAGTAAAATTTAACTAATAAAACGATATTTGCCCACATCACAACGAAGAAACAAAATATCATTATGGGGTTAAAAATAGCTCTGATGCAAAAGTTACTTTGTTTATGAAGTAGAGCAATTCTGGGAGGGGAGATTAAATAAATTTCGAAGAAAACAGTTGCAAAAGCTATATTACAATCGTATTCGTCCGTCGACCGAATGGCTAGGTATTAAAAGATCGTTTTCATGCCAGTAGATAAAAGAAAGAGATTACTGTTAAGTGAACGAGCAAATTTGATGCACCATTTGGGCCAGTGCTTAATGTACAGTCCCTGGCTTTTGAATTAGGACCGCTCGAATACATTGTTTTTAAAAACTGTTTTAAAAATATTATTAATATCGCCACGTTATCGCATCATTGAAAATATATACAGAGTAACAAACAATTGCTGAATTACATATATTAATACATATTTCATAAATGTTCGATCTTGTGTTTCACCGTTTCGTGTCTCGTGTCTGTTAAAGTAAGAATGTTGAAACATTTTATGCAACTTCCAATGTATAAATACAAAGATATCGCCAATTAAATACAGCCATTCCTGTAAGTGAGTGCTTACGTAAAGAATGTGAAGTGACTTGCATGTTATGATTACTGCGGCGTAAAAGTTGAAAGAGTATACATACATATGTTCGGGAAACCTTTAAATTCAGGCATAGGACTTCGCGATGAAATAGTAGGACGAATGGTATCTGAAACAAACGTAGAGAATTCGTTATCAGTGAATAAATAGTTCATTCGGTATCATATTTGGCAGAATTAATAGATGAAGAAAATAATACTAATGTTCGTTGTTTTGAAGAGTACATAAATATTATTAAATTCGAAATACGATCGTGTCATATAAATAGCAAAACTTATAAAAATGTTAAAATTTGTTAAAAATGAAAAACAAATTTTTAAGAAAAATCAACAAGTCGATTACAATCATTTTTTGTGAATAGACGTACCCCCGAAATCCTACTCGCTTTCCAGAAAAAAATTCGAGAAGGTATGAAATTTTACGACAAAATTCAAAAATTTCAAATCGTTCTGGAAAAATTATTTTCAGTCGAGGGGGTCAATTGCAATCATTTTTGGTGAATACACATACCCCCGAAATCCTACGTACTTTCGAGAAAAAAATTCGAGAAGGTATGAAATTTTACGACAAAATTCAAAAATTTCAAATCGTTCTGAAAAAATTATTTTCGGTCGCGGGGGTCAATTACAATCATTTTTGGTGAATACACATAACCCCGAAATCCTACGTACTTTCGAGAAAAAAAATTCTTTACCGAAAATATACTGTGTGGCCGGAAATGTTTCTATAATTTTTTAACGAAGCCTGTCTGTAAAATTTTGACGAATAAAAATAGCAACCAAAAATTCCTCGACGATTATTAACCGTTTAAACGAACAGGATTCAGTGAAATTAATTTGATATCTAATCTTAAAAGTAATAAGAAATGTGTCGCGTATCCATCTATAGGAAACTTTTGGTACTGCGTACAACTCCGCAGAAATAATTCCGACGTACGTTAGCTCGACTGCAACGTTTGAAATAAATATTTTATAAACCGATCGATTTTCGCGCAACGAATTACTAAAGGCAATCTCCGCAGTAGAGAAATCGTTCACCGATATTGAATTAAAAACTCGACCCCAGATTACATGCAGCTAACGAACATTTATGCTGACGCTGTAAAACTCGATACATCGTTACAAAGTATTATTTAGAAAAACGAAATTTAGCATTTAAAAATTACTTCGACGATTCTTCTGCAACACATATTTCGAAATAATACTTTAATACTTTGATAATATACAGATATTATCAATTTCCTTTTTTCCTTTTCTCAGTGTAATTGATTAATTACAAATGATTTTACATAAAATCATTTATATCAGGACTCATACCAAACTCCAATATTAATATTCTATTGTTCTTATCGAAAAAAAGTTAATTTCTTTTCAGATATTCGAAAGTGTTGTTTATTTGGCCAATAACAAGACTAGATTTATAATTGAACTTTATATTGTATTTAGTTTTAATATTATAGACTATTTTATACAGATACAGTATTTTAACACTTTTAGTCTGCCATGCGTTCTCACACTCAACTTCAAAACCGGGGTTCCCCTTTCCTTCGTTCTAACACTTTTTTAAGCTTCCCAGATGGCACCACAGATCCACTCTTTTTACATACACCATCACAAATACAGAAAGAAAAGCATTATATCTCTAACAGAAAGTATTAAATCATCATTCAAATTAATTATTACCTTGTTAAGTACAAATATGTGGTACTATTGTTTCCTAATTTATAAATATTAGCTCACGTGTTAATAAATTATTGAATGTTCCCTTCTATTGGTTGACCAGTGTAAACTACGTATCGATCAGATTCCAAATCATTGAGGGAACTACACTTGTTAAAACCAGAATAATATCGACCTTTTGCAATGAAACATAAATTTCGATATTTATCGAAAGGTATATTGCACTTCTGTCTGTAAATATACAGCAAATCGAAAGCGATGTTTACAAATGTATTAATGGAAATACGGCTTGCTTTCTTATTAAGAAACGGCGGGAAAAATGGCTAAAAGTAAGCTACACGCTGATCAGTGGTCACCAGTGTCTAATGTAATATCAGTAACCTTAGTGTTCATTAATATTAAAGGAAATAACATGTCGAGTTAATTGACAAAATTAATAAAAGTTTAAATTTTATTGACGATTAACATATTCGTTTATGTGACAACTATAAATTAATTTGTGTAATCTCAAATAGCAAAGGGTAATAAATTACTTAACATAATAAAGATTAGCGTAATTTGTAAAAGTTTTACAATACGCAATTTTATTTCAGGTATTTGAAATGGATAATGACAGTGATTCTGACGTGGGTGATATTTTGAATGATCTTTTAGCTAATAATGATACAGAGGAAACCGAAGAAAATGAAGTATCACCGCCAAAACAGACCCTGAAGGAGTTGAATTTTAACTTCTTAGATAGTACACCTAAACTAACCGATGAAGCCAAACAAATTAATCAGAAAGAGAAGAGTGAAATTTATGATGACACTCTCGATTCTTCAGACGACGAAGATAAACGTTGTTTCGAGGAACAAAATTATTCGAATTATGGCCGTGATGTGAAATCTTTATTGAAGGATACTTCTAAGATATACGAAGATAAACCCCTATATCGCGAAACAAGTAGCAAAACTTTTGATTTTAGCACCACAAAACAGAGTACAATAGTAAACTCAACAACTAATAATAGTCTTGCGCCGAAAGATGTTTACAGCGATCCATTCTTTGGATTAAGAATCGTTACACCGATGGTGTCTTCCATAGAATTAAAAGCACGTATGAATGGTAAAATAGCAGTATCGGTATCGAAAGTTAAAGTTCACATTAACACAGGAAAAACAGATAGCGATTGGGTAATTGCAGGTGTACTAATAAATAAGTCTCTTCCGAAAACTTCACAAAAAGGTAGTATGTATAGTATATGGAAAATAAGCGATTTGTCTGAAAATGTAAGTACAGTGTGCCTTTTCATGTTCGGTAGTGCATATAAAATGTTTTGGAAAACTGCCGTTGGTACTGTAATAGGTGTTCTTAATCCAAATATCCTAGAATCTAAAGAATCTTCCGATTTAGCTACATTGTCCGTTACTAATCCTCAAAGAATCATGATTCTTGGTAAATCTAAAGATATGGGGCAATGTAAATCGACGAAAAAGAATGGCGATCGTTGTACCAGTATTATAAATATTAGTCGTTGTGAATTTTGTGTGTATCATGTTCAGAAAGAATATAAGAAGTGCTCTCGAAGAGCAGAACTTCAATCGTTTAGCAATACACAGAAATTTTCAGCTCAAACGTCAAAGAACAAATCTCAACAACGAAAACCATTTAATAATAATTGGCCAGAATTTAATGGTGTACTCTCTGTAAAAAGTAAACAATTAGAAGAAAAAGATGCCAAACGTTTAGCATTACTTTCGGGTTGTCAAAAGATTGAAAGTACAAAATTGATGAACGAAAGGAAGTTACCTGAACAAACGAAAAAAGACTTTGAACAGATGCAGAAATCAAGGGGTTGGAAAGCTGCTGTATTGTCTCAATCGTCTGAAAAAGTAGATGTACCTATATCGTCTGCGTTATTGAAATCGTATGCCTGCAAACAAAACAATATAGAAAACAAAAATTTAAATATGCTTTCTTCTTCGCCCACGAGTCCTCGTTTAGGTGTCGGTTGCCTCAAAGGAACTATCGATTTGTCAGCACCGATCACTAAAAAACAAGTTAACACAGTTAAAAGTAATGCAGTTAAATGGGTTCAAGAAAACGGGAAAATTAAACCCAAGGATCCTAACAAAATACGGTTGTATAAGGAAGAAAAGATGGGAAAAGGTAAAAAACGAATCAGGGAATCAGAAGTTTGCGCGGAACAAGAAAGAAAAAAACCGAATATCTTATCAGACAAATTTCAAGAACTGATGCAAGCTAAATCTGCACACACCGATCTTATCGAGAGATCTTACGAGAAGGAGCAGGAGAAATATTTCAATAAGTTAGAAATTAAAGAAAAAATGGAAGAGAAGATGTTGACCACTTATAAAGTATCTTGCAAAGCCGTTAAATGTTTAGTTTGTAAGTATACATCGTTTTCTGCTTCCGACATGTGTAAAGAGCAGAAACATCCATTGCGTGTTACCGACGCGATGAAAAGATTCTTTAAATGCGGTGATTGCGGGAATAGAACAGTAAGTTTAGACAGAATACCTTCGCATAGTTGTATAAAATGCGGCAGCTCAAGTTGGACAAGAGCTGCGATGATGGACGAAAGAAAAACAAATATCCTTACTAACCCATTATCTATACGCGGAGATGAAGAATCTCGTCTAGGATCAGTGACTAAAGACGCCAGTCTTAATCTCTTAGTACCGGATAAAGACGATAAATAAAATAATGTTACATTATAAATAGTAAATTTAAATTTATAAAATACTGTAAATAAAACTAAATTTTTTCTAAAATTTTATATATGTATATATATACTAGATTTTTATATTGTATCTTACAAGCATAAGTAACTCCATATATTTGATTTTATTGTCCCTAATATCGATATAGTGTCCAGTTTATGATATATACAAATATAAAAAAATCATGACGATGAAACTATAACGTGTGCGTGTGTGTGTATGTACTTCGATATTACAAGATTAAAATTATTTTTGAAGCAGTTGAAGTTATAAATACATTCGACCCTTTTCATCCAAATGTACATAGTAAGTAAAAGTATCTAGATACAACCAGGTATATAAATATTGTATAAAATATATCCCACTGTATACTCCTTTTTATTGTACTATGCCAATATTTTCTTTTTTTTTCCCCATACGACTGCGGTTTACCAGTAGATTGAAAAAAGTAGTTCTCTCTACTAAACAGCACCTTATTGTATAGGCGAACATGTCTTACCAATAATTTAAAATTTCATGCTTTTTCACTAATTTACATAACTGAAATTTACGTGTTATAAAAAGGGAAGCATTAATGAAATCGTAAATGTGAAGAGATGTTATAATCGGAACCCGGAAATATCTCTAATCACCAAACCATCACGGGGCAAGTGTACCGACTATTGTTTATCTATATTCTATCGCTATCGCTACTTATTAAAGCACTGTATACGTTTAACGTTTCTGTTTATTTGTTCTGAAAATGCCCCGCGAAAATATATGTTATCGTGACATTTCCGGGCTCTAATAGCAACTTGTTTGCATGAGAAACATAGATTGTATTTTCACTTATTATTCATTTTTCTTCATATACTAGTCTACTCAAATTCTCATTAGACTTTGATATTAACGATACGTTAATTCTCCTTGTATAAATTTTGAGTAATGCCTATGTGAAAAAAGAGGGATCGGAAATAATGGTTAATCGTCAAGTAGTTACCTAGTATTGTTAATGAAATGCAGACACATTTTATCGTTTTATAGTTCTGCGTCATTAAAGAAAAAAAAAATCAAAATATTTTTATAATCTCGCATTTCTAAGAAAAAGGAAACAGTACACATTATCATGCATATTGAAATTATTACAGAAGTAAAAATATACAGGATATAAAAAATGTTTTGTCGTGGCTATCATAAGTGAATTCTACACCTTTTTCTAGACCTCATTTGAAGGTTTTAAGATTTAGGGTTAAATTGATGGAGATCTATTAAAAAAAATTTCTTGCAGAATTTGTGGTATTATACTTATCGCAAGAACCAAACGTATCAAACAACCATACGTCGTGGTTCAATTGTTTTCGTAAATGATAATTATTGAATAATTAAATGTAAATTTTTTTTTAAATGTTTATCTTCTGTATCTTGCTCGAAATCAAGAAATGTATCAATTTTCATTAATGTTTCATATACTAATCGAGTTCCCATACCAATATCAATGGTCGCCATTACTTAGCAAATGCATTTGTAATCTGGACTTTATTTTATTAAGAATTCGTTGGTCAAGGCCTAAAATATTCTGTAATCGATGTAACACGTCATTTATGTGCGCTTTTAATTGCCGAATATATCATTTTTACCTATCCTAAAGACAAAAATTTAAGAAATCTACAGGCATCATCTCACGGATGACAATATTCCTCAATTTTGAACGAAACAGTAACTTTGAGACACGTGATTCTATTGATAAGTTTATATCTTACAAAGAATAGGGAACAATACGTTTGAAGTAAAATTTAAACTTGAATTTCGAGGTCGCGAGAAGCTTTTTTAAAGATATCTCCACCGATCTGAAGGTGTAAAACCCTACGTATGATAATTGCGATAAAACACTTTTTTACACTGCGTGCATTTATAAATTAACAATTCAAAAATAAAGGCAATTATATAGATCAATTAATAATATGTATTCTTCCAAGGTAATAACTTGTATCTTTATAATAAGAATGTATTTCATATAAACTATCCGCGTGTTGCTGCTTTGTAATCGTATAAATCATTATTTCAATATCCCTCTTTATCACTTCACAAAACATTTTTAATAGATTGTGTATTAAGGTACGGCCAACACCCAATCTTTAACGTGAAATTCCATAACTCTACGTATTCTCGTGGTCACCTCGGTGAAAAACGAGTTAAATCTTTAGGATGTCGCACAAGTGTACTATACGCACATAATACATATAAAATATGAGGTATTAAATCCGTACTTTGAGAAATTTGATTAAGCAAAATCTTATAACGATTACATCTTTGTATTGCCTTGTCAGATATAAAGTAACTTTTGAAAGGAACAAACATATTTAACTAGTGCAATACACGAGAATAAGATTGCCAAGAAATTATGAATTTTTTAGCATATTATACAACTATGCTTGTAGAAGAGATCATAGGCAAGCCATAATCTAAGTACGTCATTGATTCGTTTAAATGAGATGTATGGACGACGTCACTTTTGCTTTCATGCGTCCTCCCACGCACGCTCGTTTCCTCATTTTTACTCTCACCTTAAAAAAAAAAAAGAGTAAAAGAAGATTACAAAGATTACACGGCTTTTCCTAGTCTCTCTCTAATGTTTATCGTGTTCTTACAGAACTAGGACTTGCATACTTAAAACAAAGCTCCTGCCTTGCAGAAGAAATAATCGCACCGACATAGTAATAAATAATTAGCTAGATACCTATTGAGAAAATGTTTACATATAAAAATTTAAAGAAACATTAAGCCGGCATGTAACACATCAGTGTCTTTAAGACAATACACAGATACAATACTTTTAAACCCATCATTCGGAATTCGTTGTGCACATACCATAAGCCAGATCATCTTTTATTGAACGTTCCATTTTGATGAAGTTTTCATAAAGCTTTACTCCCCCCCTCCCCCTTGCATCACATACTGTATAATAGTATAAATAACCTAATTATACTATTAATTAACAATACATTATTTTCACCAAAAGATTTCACAACATTCACAAGAACCTTCGTTTACTATACAGCGATATTTCATAAAAGATACTTCACCAAAATTGCACGTTTCATTCTTCTCACATTTATACATACATATTATTGTTTATTACAAAGGCATCATATGAATAAGCAAGTTGAATTAACAATGTTAAAATAATTTTGTAATATTTTCTTCTTCTTTAAATTACTGCCACTTAAATATTGCAGAAGATACTGTCTTTACTAATAGAGTGCACCGTTGTGACAATCAAAGAGATATCTCGATACACATGCGAAGCGTTTGTTATATACAATCCTGAGTGTACAAAATAGAAGAGTCGAAAGTCAGCGAAGTTAATACAGATTACGAAAAATCATTTCTTATGTTTATATGTGTATCACTCGATGAGACGGAAAGGTTTTTATTTCCCCGGGATATTACGCGACCTTAACTTATGTCTAAGGCAACAGTGCCATTAAAAATTTAAGTCTATGTACAAAACTCTTCATTATTCATATGAATTTAGTAATTGGTATAGAATGCACGATACGCAGCTTCATGTTTATGATAATCAGTTTATTACAACTTATTCGTGATTGTGTCTGAACAAAAATAACCGCTACATCCTCGTGTTTGTTAGAGTAATACCTTTTATCATAAATCCACGACGAGACGATGAATATCAATTTGATACAAAAAATTATGATGTCTCAAATTTATGCACTGTACAAAACGTATGCAGCTCTGTAGCGCGTGTAATTATTTAAATAAATCCATGTGAATAATTCAAGAATATAATTGTATTATAAGGTAGTGTTGTGTGAGATAGGCAGGTATCAAGCTGGCTTAATTAAGTGTCACAGTCTTCGAGTTGCCTCTTTTCTTCATGGACAATGTATTACTTATTAGCGCGCCACATGTTGTGCTTCTCACTTTTGTGTATCGATTGCAAACTGTTTGAATGAACTCTAATGAATAATTTCATGATTTATGTGTGTTGCATCATATGATAATTTTAATAATCACGTCCTTCTATGTGCCTCTCTTGAATACGATGCAAGGGAAAACATAGGTATATGTTTTCCTTTGAAGCTAAAAGAACTGTCTGTTGAGTCACGAATTTAATAGTCATCCAGATCAAAACTATCAACTTCGACGTCTTCCAGCTGCATACTCTGAAAGTCCACTTTGTACCGCAATATACCTGTAAAATACATATTTCGAAATACTACTTTAGTAGATACGAATTCGAACGGCGTACATTACTATGACGAGTGAACAAAAAGAAACGAAAATATCTTTTTAATATATTATAAATGATACTATATTAAAGAAAGTTTTATCAACTAGTTATTCAAATTGAATATATGATTAATTATCTGTATAAATATAATCATAAATAGCATTGATATGATAATTATTAATCATGCACAACATATTGCTTAGTGTTTTTCAATTGTTAAAAAAATACAAGGTGTTCGGCCATCACTGGGAAAAAATTTTAATGGAAGATTCTGGAGGCAAAAATAAGACGAAAATCAGGAATATTAATTTCTTGACTGAGACTTCGTTAAAAAGTTATTAACAAAATTAAATTACAAAAATTTCAAATCATTCTGAAAAAATTATTATTGGTTGGTGGGGGTCAATTACAATCATTTTTTGTGTTTAGACATACCCCTGAAATCCTATCCATTTTCTAGAAAAAAATTCAGTCCGGGCGGAACATTAAACGTTAATAACTTTTTAACGAAGCCTCCATCGACAAATTACTATTCTTGATTTTCGTCTTATTTTGGCCTCTAGAATCTCCCATTAAAATTTTTCCCAGGGGTGGCCGAACACCCTGTATAACAATTTTAATATTTAACGTAAGTTTAAAAACATGATTGATCGAATTAGAATTGAATAATAATTTATTCGGTGTGTTTTATGAAAAACACTGTTATTACAATAATTATATAATATAATTAAACAGAATTTAGAAGCTGCTATTATAATGTAAAAGTGATACGTAGGAACATAATGATATTACAAGAGTAAGTGAATGTTATACATGTAATGAATATCATATTTTTTACAATTGTAATTAAAAGAAATGTATAATACTTTATCGCTACAAAAAATATTCCACGAAACAAGCAATAAACTCTATTATGTATATAAAGACAATTGCTACAGCAAAGAATGATACATGTATAAGTCAAAAGTACACTATAATATAATACTGTATAAATAGATAAATAACTGTCAATATTTTTGAAAATGCAATATATTACATCCTCTTATTAAAATGGTGAAATTTCTAAATGTTAGCAGTCTTACTAATAAAGAAAACAATAGAAAAAGAGGAAGTTCTATATTAGAAAACATAATGGTCTTTTAATACAATGTATAACATTCTAAAGCAAAAATAACATGTTTAACGTTAGAAGAATGCAATAGTAGGGTTTAATAAAGACTCAAGTTCACTGCTTCTTCTTGTTTCACTAAATTAGTAGAAAGCAATTACTATACCTTTCCCAATATGCAAGCTAATAGAAACAAATCATCAATTAGTACTTATGCTTGATCAAATACACTAACTACTTAACAAAGCCTGGCTATTTATTACATAAACAATGCTCGTTAAATTGTTTTCATATCCATCAGCAAAGTTTTCTGCTTATTAATTTTATCATAGAAATTAATATTTAGCTTTTTCAATACTATTTCGTTAGTAATATTACTTACTGTAATGTAGTAACGTCTTATTGATATTTTCAGAAAATATGAGACTATGTCGTTTCTCTTTGATGATGAAATTACTATTTGCCTATTGCACAACATGCAGCAAGCAATATACATGATTATATATTTGAATAAGCAGTAAGCATTCACATATAAAAACATACTAGTATGGTGCTTAATCGTAAAAGTTTTGCTTTTGTATTAGATAAAACATTGTTAAAATTGTATTTATATTATTTCTATAAATTTCATTTGAAAATATATATCCACAATAATATCTGTATCTTAAATAATCGCTTAAAAATTGATTAATTCATGTGTAATTCATATGTATAAAATATTGAAGACAAAGTAAACATTTATTTATCTAACGTATAGTAAAATTCCAAAGATATATTAAACAGTTACTTGATGGACTTGCTGAAACAATATGTCAATATTACACTGGCATGAGATATTGGAAAGAAACACAGAAAAATCTGTAAATTAAAAAGTGTAAAAGAGATCACTTGATATTCAAGGTATAATATTAAAATAATACTCGTGAGGTACATAGTATTAAAATACTGTTCTGCATGAAACATGGAGAAAAACCAAGCCTTGCATGCAAACGATATAAATTTCCTAGGTATATCTACTGCAGAATAAAATAAGAAACAGTGGTTTCAGTATTATGTCGAAAATCAAATATATATATATACGTATTTTTCACACATACTGTATAATTTTGTTAAATTTTTTTTGAAAACTTATTCATTTATATCAAACACTATCAGGAGCTACATGTTTCTATAAAACGAATTCCTTATAAATCGTTGTTCTTCGTACTAAAGCATTATCATAACTATAAATGTTCATTATCATACCACTAATGCATCGTATGTCTATAATTTTATAAGGCATAAATATTATTTACACTAATTTAAACTTTTCGTAATAATGTCTTGGAAACAAAATTCTTGGGAGAATGCTAGTTTGTGTGAACAAATGATCAAAAATATGTATGAATAATCCGTGTTGCAATTGATTTTAAATGTGTAAATATGCAACAGAACTAAGAATAAGATGCATTTTGTTGAAACAAAGATAACTGTGTTTATAGAACTAAGCGGTACTAAGTTTTTTTTTTTTTTATTATAGTGATCATTGTGTATCGTGTCTACAACTTGATTTTAATCGCTAACGATGTAATGTATAATCACTAAGTAGTAAGAACAAATCTAGTAATGTTCAAGACATAAATATTACATATTGAAATACTTTAACTCACCATTTTTAAATACAAATATCCATATCTCATATATATACAAGATTTTCTTTATTTTTTTTTTTTTTTTGTACCACCAAGAAAAGAAAAGAAGACAGCAAAGTTTCCAGGCTTTTTATTTGTGAAAATAAACATTATACCTCGGAATTTTGAACTAAAAATATCTATATTCACATTCAAACTCATCAGAAGAGACATATATATATATAATATATTCTACAGATCTGCACAGAAGTATCGAACTATACTATTCAGTGAGAAACCCAACAGAAGAAACTGCAAATATTTTGGACAAATTTATCGGGTAGTTCTTAAGTATACGTTGAATGCATTTGTTTTGTTGTTCATATCATAAAACTTCAATGGTTGAACAAAGAAGTCTTATCATAATTCATAATAACGTTACAATATAACGAAGTAATCATAATTGCATGATAAAAAAATAATCTCTTCATGATGAGTACATTATTTATGTTATGAGGCGATATAATATATTATATCTGTATTTGGAATACAAACACACGTAAAGATAGAATTTAACATATGATTAGTTAAATTACTAATGGTTAATTACACCTAGCGTATAAAGGTTCAATATCCTACTAATTTTCACTGAATAATACATACAATAGTAATATTATATATGAACATTTTATTCATTTCTTTTTATATAATATGCTAATAAGAAAGTTATAAAGGCCTTGATAAATTTGTCCAGTTCTGAAAGTAATATGTTCTATGATACACGAAATATAAACGAATGCACTCAAGACAGAGAAAGAGCTACCTGGTCAACTTTGAGTATTTCACAGATGAAATTAGTAATCATCGAGGTCAACATCATCAAGAGGCTCATCAGCCTGCAGTGACTGGAAATCAACTTTGTAGCGGAGGATTCCTATGCATCAAGATATACTCCATAATTAATAATAATGTTTCTAACCGTTTTCTAATACCATTTACTTTTCACATACATATATATATATGCGAGCTCATGTAATATCTTGATAAAGACCTTTCTTGATACTTCTATACCACACTCTCGTTTAAGTTTTCATATGAATTACGATTTTACTTTAAATATCTTTCACAAATAAAAAACTAGTCCAAGAAGATCCCCAATTCTGAGTTACACTTTAAGAAAAGTTAAAATTTCCTTTAGGTATACACAACTATTAAACTTATACATTTTACTATTACAAGAAACATCCGCGAAGTGTACGACATCGATATTTATGAAGACCTGCTACGAGTTTGTAGAGCAGTGAAAAATAAAAAATAAATGTTTTTTTTATCTACGGCAATTTAAGTTTAAGGAATGTAATTGTTCTCTAAAATTTCACCCCTTCGATGCTATCTTGATGATCGTTGTTACGAAAATGTTCGTAACTTTGAAAGTGAAGGAGACAAAAATAATGTTTTATTAAGCATTTGTATCGGTGCGTGTAACATGTTATTTTTCGTTGAAAACTATATAGTATTTGTTTGAAAAACTTTTCCGTATAATTATCAAGAATCACAGAAGACAGCATCGATTGGGTGAAACTGAAGAGTAATCGATCTCTTAAATATAAGTTACTATAGCTAAGAAAATTAAGTGTCTCTTACTTTTAGCTACTTTATAAACTACTAAAGTTTCATCAAAATCGTCTTTCGATACTTCGCGGATGTTTCTTGTTAGTCACTAGCTATTCAAAATGGAATCAGCCGCTTTTCTGTTAGTACACACATTGAGTAGACGAATACAAATCATCGTTTCACATGTATATTACTGTCAGTCGAGTTAAAGTTAAAGACCACCAAAACCAAGTAAAAAGTGAACTTACCTCCAATACCGCCGAAACCTCTTACAAATTGAGAACCTTCTTGGGATTTATCTGTAATAATTTCCAGGGTGGCACCAAAGCTTTTGTAATTGTTTGCAAGCCATTCGAGCAGAGGCTGACACTCTACGAGTTCCAATTCAACTCCGCTCTAAATATAATTCGTAAGAGTCAATATTGCTTGTTCATAGTTTACGTGTAATACTCTCAATATATTTTCAACGCACCTCTTTGTCAGTAAAATGAGTTTTGTCTTTCTCTTGTTCCGGCGTTAGGTGTAAAACTTTCTCCTCTGCGTTTGTATGGTTCTTTAAAACGTATCGTTGAATATCTAAGTTTTCCCAACAAATAAGGGTTTCCACACTACCTAACTCTAGAGCTCTTAATGTATCTTCTACGCCGAAACAATATTTTCCCGTATCTTGTGATATTTCGTCGAAATAACGACCTAAATAAAACAGCACGTTACTTGGTTTTCAAATAATTTTGAACTTCCATCCTCTTTCATAAAATCATAATTACACAAATTTTTCAGGAACTACATAGCTATACATATTTACACTCACCAATTAATTTCTTTTCCTGAATGAATTTTACATTTTGTAAAGATTCAGCAGCTAGTTCAATAGCCTGATTAAAACCATTTTCTCCGCCGTACGAAACATCTACCAACTTTATAACTTTTGCTTGCAATCTCTATAAAAAAAAATGGTATTGTATTATGTAACTAAAATGTATACTTTTATGATCATAATAATTATTATATTTAACTTACTGGATCGAACATGTCAGATTGGCTAAGTTCTGTTTTAAAATCGGCACTACCAGCTAAGATTAAACCAGCAATATTAGGTTTATCGTTAGTAATATACAACTGAGTAGCTACTTCTGCAACTTTTCGAACATAATTGTGCCGTTTTTCCATACGTAATCGAGCAAAACGGAGAGCCGATTGTCCGCCTCTGCCTAAAATTAAATTTGGTAAGGTAACAAAATATTTTTAAATAAATATATGTCTAATAAAGCCATCTTTGCTGTTCTTTCTGTTTTACTACTAAAGTATTTCAATAATTATTTATGTACCATGCTTCTTTGGAAGATCTACAGTAAATTTATGTAGGACTTCACGAGTATTTCCTTGAAGTGTACCGAACAGTGCACCATTACCATCCATAACTATAAAACCAAATTTGTTATCATCAGCAAGCAACGCCGTCAGTGCTTCGGTGTGAAACTAAAAAATATTTAGATGCGTATTAAAAATTTGTGTTAATGCGCTTATCCTAGATAAAAATGTTTTCTACGAAACAATAAATAACAAAGTACCTTATTATCGCACAGATAGAGAGAAGTATTAATAGGTTTAAAAGGTTCAAAGTCGATGTTGACCTTCTTTTCTTTTCCTTCTTCCGTTACAATGGTACCACAATATATTACCAGGCCATTTGGAGGCACTAAAATAAATAATGTATATTTTATACGAAGACTATAATATAACTGTACTTTAATCGTATAATTGTATTTTAAAAGATAGTGAAAATATGAATTCTTTTGCTAATTAATTCTTCGAAGACATCATAAATTACAAAATTTGCTTAACATTTGCATAACTTTCAATGCAAGGATATTTGATTAAATGAAGTTGGAACGATAAGAAAAATTAATTTACCTTTAGTATATAATTTTAGCCTATGTTGTACAGATGTGATTGCACCCAAAACTGATAGTCTATTTACACGAGATTTAATATTTGATGCAGTTCCGAACTCGTCCGCTAACATTTTGCTTACTCTTGATATTTGATCCTTTGGGGGAATAATTAGCGAAATCATGCTAGTCCCATTTCTGCAAAGAAAGGTATTCGTATATTTAACGACGCTTAATATATAAGCAATTTGCTTATATAAGATTGCATTAGTGTCGCAGCAAGAAAATCATGGCTCTTGCGGTACAATACAAAATTCAATGTCAAATCATAAATGCCACAATACATTTGTTGGAATCTGAAATATTTATGAACTTTTTCTCCTTTTTGTGTCACGTGAAATTCACTTTTGCAAAGCGAGACGAAAGTCCGTTAATTCCAACTTACCGCATAATCTTTAAAACATATGTGCGTATAGAAAATCGAACAGCTGATAACAAGAGGCGCGGCAACGTTAATTTCGACCTACTTACCCTCTGGCCATTTCGAGACTTTTTATGAGTTTCTTGATCTTCCAGATCTCGACATTGCGGTCGGCGGAAGTCTCCTCGTTGGACATTGCTGCGCCGTGTGTCGCGTGGTCGCGGTTTACGGGTGTCCTACCAAATTAAATTTTTACCACCAACTGGGCCGTAGACTGAGAAAGGTGGTCCACGTCGATGTGAGAGGCCGGATCTACGAATTTTTCTCTGAAACGAACGATCAATCCATTTATCGATGAATCTGCTTCGATCCAGTTTATACCGGATTATGTCAGAAAGAACGTGCTCGGGAGAAAATTCCCGTTCTGTTCCAATGAAACGTAACTCCCGTGTATATCACCTCTCACTCACTTTGGGATCTGTAATGTTGATGTTTGCCACAAGCGTTACGTTTTAAATACGATTCTTGTGACACAGCGGGTACCACGCGAAAGTGAACCTCGGTATGCACACGTCGGCCATGCGATGGCACAGCGAAACGTCAGTACTTCGGTGGACGTACTGTACGGTACAAAATGGGAAGCAAAGAGACCGAAGATTTCGTGCGCGAGCAGCGCCTCGAGGCCGCTTATCGTATACGGGCGCAGCCGCGTTTGCATTGGCTGTTCACAGCCACTTTCCATTGCTCGATGCAGTGTTTCTCAAACCTTCTCCGCCCGTGAAACCTTTTAATAAGGGGATAAAAAACTATCTTGTTGGGCACCCGTATTTTTTACGACTTGGTATTTACAGTTATATGTAGATTTATTTATTGTCACATTGGTCACGAATATTTTATACGCTACCCTAGTATTTCTTGAATTCCTTCTTTTCACGGCCCCTTTTAATATAAAGATACCTCTGACGAACCCTTTCAGGGAGAATTACACTATTTCTTAAATACATACTACACTAATGAAACAAAATTTAATGGTTTCGTTTTCTTCGGTGAATAGTATCGAAATATCCTTACTATTTGTTTTCATGTAAAAATTCATTATAAACAAAAAATCCAATCAAATTTCCAGTCCTTGATTCTTTTAATAGAAATAAAATGAAAATTATTAAATATGTTACAGGTCAATGTATTGTAAATAAAACTATATAAAATATTAGTCAAACATAGATGTAACGAGATGGAGGATGCTGTTTCTTAGAAATTAAGTTAGGGATGTTAAGTGTATATAAGTCTGAAAAGTATCGTCCTTTCGCGAGAAGAAGGCACAGAGTGTTTACATCCCCACTCTTGCTGCAGTCCGCTGATTGGCTGTCACCGATCTTCGTCACCGTTTTCGACCAATACCTGTGAGTCAGCGGTCTGCAACAGGAGTGGGGATGTAAACACGCTGTGCCTTCTTCTCGTGGAAACACGATATGTAATAATCTCAGATTCAGTTACACGTTTAATCTGTTTTTGTATTTGGATTTTAATAAAACTAAAAAAACTTGATATAAAAATTTATGAAACTTCACGTCGATTTTTTTTATATCCAAACACTGTAATCGAGTCGTTCTTCGACTGATCCAAGTATCAAAATTGTTTACTTTCTTGGTCCTTTTCGGATATTTTTACCATTGACGACAAAAAGCAGTGTAACGAATGTTTTTAATAATAATAAAATATTACAGGAAGCATTTTTTAATTTCACTGTACTATGTTCTTGTTTTTTTCTGAGAGTCTGTAGACTCAACATTAACAAATTCGTGAACCTTCAAGGCTTTGTAACTACAGTTTGAGAAACACTGGCTTAATGCTTTGTTTGCAATAATGTGAAAATTTACACGTAGTGTCTATATATATGTATATATTTCTTTTAAATCCGTTAGAATTTTTTAACAAGATGAAGAAAAAAATTTGCGCATCCATTGTATAAGTCGTGAACGATTGAATAAACACAAAGGTGTACCTACAAAAAATTATAAATGTAAATTTAAAAGAAAATGTAACTTGCTAAACAAAAATTTAATTAATCGAAATATTCCTTCACGTAGGAAAACATATTATTAAATTATATTACTAAACAATATATTTTTTTTTTTAAATAATATGGTCACACATCTTTATAGTATTGAACGTTCATGACAAAACTTTTCGCGTGATTAGAGGAAGTTTGAACATTTGAAGAACATTGAAGAATATCAATGGTCGTTAGTTATAACTGGAAATAAAATACATTTAATTTAATATAAACGTATTTTTAAATATCCTTCAAGGAATCAATTCTATGCAAATATATTGTTTTTTGCGACAAGTATAGAATCTTTTTTTTTGTAAAATGGGGATACACACTCACAAAAAATATATATATTACTTAAAATCATCAGGAATTTGTATTGTTGTAATGGGGTTAGTTGCTGTATTAATTAACATAATAATTTCAATCGACTTACAATACTAACCTATATTCTTTATGTAGAAGTTGCTGGTTCATGTACCAATTACGACAAACGTCACAAGTGTTACGTTCCAGCGTGCCTACTAATGTTTTGAATCTAGAACAATCCCGTGCGCAATACATTTATATTGACAATCCCAGATTTAAAGGTATCATTAAGTACAGTTACATATGAGTTTTGGTAGCTTCTAATAGGTCTTTAAGATTGTCGACCATTATAATTTCAGATATATTTATGTTCCGAAAGAGCAGAAATTTACAATCATCCATTGCAGAGGAATCACCTTCTTTCAGTCATATTATAATGAAATGGTGGAAGTCGTTAAACCGTAACGTGGCATATAAATTATTGTATATGTCGCAGCATGGTAACAAATCCGACCGCTTGAAAGCTATCTATACGTTAAACTCCTTAAAATATCTAAAAGGTATTTTCTTATTCCTTATGCGATAACAGTTCAGGAGAATATATTTTAAATCAAAATATTACAGATTGGCATTACCAACATATTGCTCAAATGTTAGATGCCAAAACAGCTGTGACCTTAGCAAGAATGCCAAATGTGGATTTAAGGTTTTTCCTAAAGCCACCGTATCACTTTGTACAACATAAATTATACGTATGTATAATTGAGTTTTACAATATTTTTACATTTTGCGTTAGGAAAATTTATGCAATGAAGACTTATATTCTTTCTAGGATGTGATAGAAAAAGTACATTATTTGCTACTCTATTTGAACACATTATGTCAAAATACGCATCCATGTCTCATTCAATTTCTTAATAAGAAATTCAAAGATTCGCATCGTGTAAGTATACATTGCTTAAACATTCGAATGCCTTAATGTATAAATTATTTTGTAAGAACTGTAATTACCTGTAAAGTATAAAATAAACAGGATGGTTTGATATTCGATTACGATTTAACAAGCATAGGATTGGCTGTCGCTCCGGTTGTAATATGGGATCAAGAATTATTACAGAATTGTCTTCAAGCACTGTGTCATCATTCTTGTCTCGAGCAATATAGTAAAGGTACAGTAATTAAACTGGACATCTACATCTGATTTTTAACCCTTTGTACTCTACTAACATCGCTACAGTGACATACATAATTAATACATACCATGTGCTCAATTGAAGTTTTATTTGCGATAACGCAAATTGAATTTAGGAAATATACGAATAAAATTTAAATTATAGATATTTATACATTTATGTGACAAAAAAAGAATATTTTTTTATTTTTAGAAGTCACACCACAAAATTGCAATCGGTATCGTTAGTTGTTCATATTAATAAAGACTCTCAGAGTGCAAAGAATTAATATTTTCACATAATTTATTTTTATTTTCAGACATTGTAGATGCTGGCGGTCTTTCAATACTTATGATAATAAAGCAAATTTTTAACGACAACATTAACGTGTATATATTACTCGCAAAAATAATTTCCAACATCTCGCTTCATTCTGAATATTTACAAGAGATTTTTCAAGCAGGTAAATAAATTGTAGTTTTGTTACTATTGAAATGTTACGTTTTACTGGAACATTATTTTTTGGCTATAAGGATGGATTGGCACATTGGTAGAATGGTCTCATAGTTCTGATATACGATTATCAGCACCCGCGAGTCGTGCATTAGCAAATTTAGATACAGACGAAAATGAACATGTGAAATATCCAAGACGTATTTACCTCCTTCACCCTCTACACAAGACCAAAACAAACACAAAGTTGGACGTTGTTTTTCTACATGGACTTCTTGGTGGTATATTTGTAACATGGAGACAAAGAGATACAGATACAGTTGGATCTGTGGTTGTAGGTTTGTTAGTATTGTAATTAATAAAATATTTAATCAGTCAATTAACTGAATCGCAGTGGTTTAATTGAACAAGTATGAAATACGAGATGTAGTAAGTTCAAAAGTAATTTCAATAACGATGTCTTTTATAGATCCCTATATGATGGAAAATGGAATTGATACTCTTTCGAGCGTGATAGGTGAACAATCACAGGAATTTCTGAAAGATTTAGCTTATGATTTGAGAAAGTACGAATGGGATAGACTAGGACAAGATTTTGAAATAGTTCTAGACGATTGTCCTCAAAATATTAATGACAGAGCATGTGGACCGTATTTTTGTAAAGGGTAAAACGTTGTTACGTGTAACTTGTTTTATTAAAAAATTTCAATGTTTTTAGAAATTCAATATTTTAGGGATGACGATTGCATGAAGAATAGCGACCGTTACAGAAATTATAGAACACAGTGTTGGCCTAAAGATTGGCTACCCGAAGATGTACCATCTGTTCGAATTATTGGAGTAAATTATGATACAAATTTGTCGATGTGGACTCCTTCGTGTCCCATAGAAAGCAGAATGTGGGTACTGAAATATAATTCTGTTATAATTATTCAAGATTCACGTATTAAAAATTTATCCGTACTCTGTATTTCTTAGAACTACTATGAGTGAAAGAAGTACAGAATATACTGAAAAGTTAATAACTGCGGGTATTGGAACACGACCAACAATATGGGTATGTCACTCGATGGGTGGTTTATTAGTAAAAAAGATGCTTATCGATGGTTGGTTAATTTTATCGTCTTTTGATCTTATTAAATATGGCTTCATAAATTATTTGTTGTGTAATTAAATTTGATGCACAATTATTTTCCGTATAGAATGGAAAAATGGCGATAAAAATAATATATGTAAAAATACTCGCGGCATACTATTTTATAGTACACCTCATCGAGGTTCTCGTGTAGCAGTTTTGACACAAATCTCACAAATGCTGATGTGGCCATCAATCGAAGTACAAGAACTTCGTGAAGGTATATGAGAATTTCTCGAATATCGTTTCTAAATTTGTTTTAAATATATGTTGAGCAATACTATTCCGTGTAGAGTCACCGCACTTATTGAAGTTACATGAAGAATTTCTGAATATGTTGAAGGAGTATCCCATGGAAATCGTTAGTTTTTGTGAAACAAAACCTACGCTATTGACTGCATTCAAAGTTCCATTCCAATTCGTTACTTCTAATTCAGCCGGTATGATTTCAAAGATTTGTATTAATATTAATTTGTTTGACGTATCATCAGTTTTCCAATAAACAAATATTTTAATACATATTTTTAGATCCTGGAGTGGGTGAATACTATGAAATTGCGCAAGATCACTTATCAATATGTAAACCATCAAGCAGGTACTGATTCATTTAAATTTTTAGATTATTTAGAACTTCAAAAATTATAAATTGTATTTTCATTTTTTACAGACACTCCTTCTTATATCAAAAACTTTTGAGTGTATTGAAACGTCACGTAACTCCATACGAGAAAACGAAAGTCTCTCCAATTATGGAATTACTATTGTTGCCAAGTAAATTTTTTTAATCATGTATATGTTTGTATGTTCTGTGCATACACGATTGTGAATATATACACGATATCTATATAATTTTTTATTACCAAATGCTCTATTTTTATACATACAATTAAGTATCGTGAAATCGAAGTAAAGCTGTAAGTAAAGGAAACAAATGGGTACAATAAATTCTTTCTTTCTTTAATTATTAATAATCATAATTCCAATTCAGAATGAACATGTCTATATTACAAAAATATTACGTATTTTTAAATACTTACTTTACACCACTGATTATTCCTTTCTTTGACTAGAATAAACAAAATTTCCATAATAAAATCGGTATAAATGATTGAACCGTTCGATAACAATTTTCTGGAGTAAAATATAAGATACTGCTTGCTCAATATTAGATAACAACTATACAAAATACTATACATAAGTGTAGTAAAATCCTAAGATAAAATAATGTAAGATGAACGATTGTTTTATATGATATTTTTTTCATTGTTTAAGCACAATATACATGTCAGTGTGGTAGATTCCTATGTCGTACTTACTTAAGGCACTGAATAAATTAAATAAAAGTGGAGTTGATAGAAATTTCATTTTATTACCGTCAATTTTAGAAATTCGTGTCATAATCAGGATGATGACGACTCGATAAATTTGTTGTACTGTCGTAGCCACCATATTTACTGCTAGTGTGAGATCCATTACAATAATAACCATTCCATTCCGATCGCCAACTATCATACATATTGTATTTCTTGTTGTCTTGAAACGGTTTTTCGACAAGTATCTTGAAGTTATAAAGAATAATGTACTCATGCAAATGCAAATAAATACCATCTACAACGTTGCACAATGTATTTTGGTATTTTACCTTGTTAGAGGTCGATTCGAAAGATTTATCATTCCAAGAAACATCCGGGTCAGTCCAAATTGTATGTACCGGTTTCGAGTAGTCGCTAGATCTGTGAGCTGTTATATTTTTCGCTACCTCCTCTTCGTAAATTGCAGATACGGATGGTTTTAATTTTGAACCATGACGATTTACCAGCTATAAATTAAAATACATCACAATTAACGCGTCGTCCTTCCACGAGAAGAAGGCACAGCGTGTTTACATCGGCGATGGACATCGTGGGAATTTTGGTCATGCGCACTGGAATTTTCCCTTGTGGGATTCCTTTCTACGCATGCGTAAGCTGACGTTACAGCTACCCGTCATCCGCTACCATAGACGTATCTTTAGCGCAAAAAGAGACGCATGTTGGGAATTCCCGTGTTTTGAAAATTGAACTTTCTACTTCAAAATGCTCGCCAATCACACAAAAATTAACTCGTCGAAGATCCCCTACGTATTTCTCTAGCTATACTCATAGTAGATTAAGAGGAAATTTTTTGTTTTTGTCTCTTTCCCTGTAACTTCCTTAAATTTTGTTCCTTATTGAATGCCAATCACTGGTTTACATCCCCACTCTTGCTGCAGTCCGCTGACTTACGGTGACAGCCAATCAGCGGACTGCAACAGGAGTGGGGATAGACACACGCTGTGCCTTCTTCTCGCGGAAGCACGGTACATCTTACGTTGGTACTCCCGATCTTCTCGAACGATGTAATACTTACAACCGACACGCCAAATATTATGATAAAAAGTAATCCACCAACACCAATTACGATTACAGCAATGGCCCACTGTGGAATTAATCTGTCGTCTTTTTCAATGTACTGAGGGGTAGTTACTTTAGGTATTACTAAAAACAAATCGTTTTCACAGTGAGCATAGACATTATTACTTTGACGTAATAAATACTTAATGAATAAACTGAACATACCCACAAAGTCTGTATATTTTGGATCAATTGTAAATGTTCCTAGTTTTATCGTGCCTTTGGTTTTTGTATCGTTCCATCTGTTTCCGTTGTATGTCCGCAACGAATCATGGAAAATTACTTTTAACTCTTGCGTGTTAACTGTCTGCTCCAAATTGGCCAATTCGATGAAGTAGTCTACCAATATACTACCCTCGCTGTAATTCGTAAATTTATTAATCAAACGAATAGCTTACTTTCGCAATCATTTTTGCACAGAGATGAATACTCGAAATCATTACCTGAACGAATCAATTCTTATTTTCTTATACCACTTTGTCAGAACCGACGATTTCGAGAATATGAAATTCATCTATAAACATAAAAATGGAGAAATGAAATTCTTACAAGAATACGGGAAGTAAACTTTGTAATTTATACATTTAATAACAAATTCAATAGGATACCTCTTTCTCGATTTCATTGGCAAGGTTCTGCCATTCTTGAGTATTTCGATCGAGTAATTCCGGTACCCAGGTTGCGTTACCGATTATCCTTATTGTTCCAGCAACTTCGCATTCTTCCTCGCAAATTCCTGGAGTGGTAGGTCTGGGCGTGGTCGTCGTGGTCGTCGTAGTCGAAGTGCTCGATGTTGTTTCGGTTATTGGGATAAGCGATGCGTTCAGAGACGAAATTGTCGCGGTACGGGCAGCTTCTAGCAACTTTTCTATCGAGATTGGAGTCGTCGACGGAGTGGGCCATCCAGTAAATTCAGTCGTAGCTCTGCAATTCAGATTTTTATTTCGATATGCGTTTTTATCCGCATCCGCTATCGAGTTTGAATTTTAAATATAAACTTTAAATTTAAGTTTGCGTTCGCGTTACAAATTTGACCATGTTTTTCCATAACCTTTGTACTTCGATACGAAGCTGAGCTTTCAATTAAAATTTATATTTTACTTTAACATTGAATCCAACTTCGAATTTATAGAATAGTTTAGAACCTGACCTGGTGGGCCATCCCTTCTGTATTTTCAGCGTAACTGCGCCAGGCGCATCGCCTCGAGGAGTTTGCGGGGTAGTGATCTTATGAATAGGTTTTCGGCCACCTGGTCTGCTGGGGAATACAATTTTCAAACTGCCAGGTTTCGCCGTCGTGGCGGCATTAGTGTCTGTCATTTCCGATGTATTCAACTCGGTTGAATTCTCAGTGCGTACTTCAATGATCTTTGTTTCCAAACTGGTATTTTTTGTCTTTTGTTCGTAGTCGCGCGGTAGTAAAGAAGAAATATCGAATTTGGACTTTGCAAACAGATCCTGAATTGTTTTCTCTGGCGATTTCTCCTTTGTAATATCCACGGTTTTCACCGTTGTTGTTGTGCTCAATTCGGTCTTCGCGATCGAACTTCCTTCGTTTTTCTTTTTAAAATCCGGGGGTAACAACGACGAGATATCAATCTTAGATTTTGCAAGAATGTCAGTCAACAGAGAGCTCTCCGTGACAGGCGCGTCCTCTTTCTTCAGTTTGTATCCAGGTGGCAAGAAGGCACTGATGTCTTGCACGACCGTATTACTCTTTGTCCTCCTCGTAGTAGAAGCTGGGGTAGTGGTCGTGAGTTGAGTCGTGGTTGCTACAGACACGGTTGTGCTCTTTGTGGGCCACCTAGACGAAGTTGATCAATTTTTATATACTATTACAGCTGTTACAGCAATACAAACAAAGACTCTTTAAAGCAAAAGTTCAATGGTTTAAACGAAATCGTGAATGTAGCTTGGGAATATTTCTAGTTAAAGAATGGGAATACTTATACAAGCAGAATAGATCAAACAAAGTACAGTACATGAACTGCATACTACTCTTTTAGATCCTTAATTAAAGAATTCATTAATCATCGTTCTAATTAATTGTCTAATTTAAAGTAAAACGGTTTTCATGTAAGATATCATGAACTATTTTCTTTGCTTCCTTGATTTTCACAATTTGATTTCAATCACATAGAGTATATTAACCTTTCATCTTACATTTTAATTCTGTGAATACTTCCTGTGAACATTAGAGTACCAGATGTCAGATTATTGAAATACATTGTGTGTGAAAATGGGAAGTTCGTCTAGTCAGCAAATGGCAGATATGAGCCTCGAGTATAGGCTTATTATTATTAATAATACAAGAAGCAATACAAAACAATGTCCGCACCTGAAACCGACTTTCGAGGGTGCAGAACCCGAAGCGGGGTTCTTCGATAGGTAATCGCGGGGTAGGAGTCCTTCGAGGCTATCCAGCGTTGTGTCTATCCGTGGTCTCGGCGTGGCGGTTGCGTAGTTGGTCCTCTTGTCGTACCGATGCGGCACGAATTTACTGATGACTGGTGTCTTAGCAGTGGTGGTGTACCTTCGTCGATTGTTACGATCTCTGTCGCCAAGAACGTCCAACTGAAGCGAGTTGCCGGCTGTTCTGAAACCGCCAGCGAGGAACCCGCTGGACAGCTCCGACTGGACTCTGTCCAGTTTGTCGATGATGCTCTCCGTGGATTCCGGAGGCGTTGACGTCTTCTTCTCGCTGTTCGGGTTGATCGGTTCAATGCGATCTATCACGGGGAACGGTAAGAAACGCGCGCCGGAAATGCTGCGACTCGTTTGTACGGACGCCAGTATCCTGGACGTGTCCTCGGTCGTCACTGCCGTCCCTGGTTGCTCCGTCGTCATCGTAGACGTGGACGAGGGCGGTGCCGCGACTTGCTCGGTCGTGGTGGGCGAAGAAGTCGTAGGAACCGATATCGTGCCATTCACGACGCTCTTTGTTGTCACCACGGATACCACAGCTTCCCCGATCAAAATCGAGCTGTCAGCCGAGGAATTCGCTTCCGCGAAGGAAAATGTCTGATCGCTACCCTCCATCGACGAGCCATCCTCGGCGTTCGTCGTCGAGATTAGCGTGTCCAGATCTGTTTCTTCGATAAGATCCGACGTGGAATTGTTCGCGCTTGCCGTGCGAATGGAGGCCGTGTCTTTCTCCGTTTCCAAGGAACGGTACTCATCTGCTTGCGCCTCATTCGCACCGGACTCTTCCTCTTCTTTTTGTTCCTCTTCTGCGTCCGGGTAGTCCAAGGTATCAGCGTTTGCTGCAGAAAAGAGCATTGGATTAGGAAAGTTTCTTTTTTTATCCAGTAAAGTGTTTGTGAACGCAACGTACAGTCACTCACATTGAAAATCGTATAATTATGGGATAAGGAATTCAGTCGAGAATAAATTGGTAAACTATAGCTTAACTCTAGAATTTCCCATTAAAATTTTTCCCAGGGGTCTAACCGAGACCATTATATTCATTTCTACTTAAAATTCGTCTAACATTTTCTGCAATCATGGATTTTCCTAGATATTGTTCAATGTCAATCGCAATAGTCGGAGCACTTAATTTGGGATCCTTATTTACCTTTCTAAGTTACTCAACGTTCGTCAGCCTCGGTTAATTTCTTCTTCAGATTAATTTTTATTTTATTTCTGAAACGATTCTCTTCTTTATAGCGTTTTGTATAGTTGAAGCACGTTCTGCCACCGTCATTTACCTCATATTTCAATTATTACTTAGTCGAAGAACCGTCTTCAACTTGTACAATGATATTCGACTGAAACCAATGAATAGAGAAACAAATGAAGAGCAAAACATTGTTGAATGTGACGATGATTTGATGCATACGTTGAAAAATATCAGGTTCCCTTGCATAGAAACTGATTAAATAAATATATATAGACAATACTTAAATATTAAACACAACCACTTTAATTATTCTTTAGATCTTACATAGTTTACTATAAAATAAATTGCAGTAATACCGACCATGCGGCTCACACAAACAAACGACTCGACTCGACCTGAACAAAAGCCACGGGAATCCCCGCACGATCTTCAACCTTACTATAGATGTCGCCATTTGACCGCGTACTTATTGCCGCGAGATTATGAACAGCCCAACAGCATAATGTTGTTATTGTTTTCTTTTCATCGATAAAAAATAATGTTTAATTTTTTATTCTTCGTATGAGAAATGACCAAGCATTAAGCTATAGATTACTAATTTATTCTCGACCAAATTCCTTATCCCATAATTATGCCGAGCCAGTACTTCTTACGATACAACCTGTACGATTTTCAATGCGAGCGACTGTATTTCCATGAAAGCGAATATTTGACAAGAACGATCAGTACCAAATAGGTTAGAATTGTGCACGTTCTTCGCGTGTCTTTCTCCACGTACGGCATTTTCCGCGACGCGATGACGAAACGAGTTTACGCAATGCGGAACGTGTTTAGAAAGATCATAATTATTTGATACTGTCGCATTACATCACGAGGACACGAAGCAAGCTGAATTTGTACCTCGCGCGGTTAAACGGTGATGTTACGTTGTCGTTAGGCGTGATCGATTTCAGTGATCTTTTACTCGCGATCCCTATTTTTGCTAACAATGTAAGACGCTAATCCGTTTCATCGTAATAACAAGTCACATTCTCATGTCCAAATCTACAAGATGATTGTAGTATCTGAGCCAGGTTATACCTGTCTTATCTCTGAGGTACACGATTTTAAAGAAAAAAACCGCAAGTTGCACAGAACGTTTTTTAATATAAAAAACGATAAAAAAACGTACATTTAAATTATTTGACATAAAATATATATGTATCAGCTTTTTGAGGTGGATTAAAAAATATACTATCGTACAAAGCCAAGCAAATGGTGGGACAATTTTTAAATCACTTAATCTCAAAGAGTTAAGAGAAGATATAATAAAATCGTAGCGAAAAGTTTTCGATGCGGTGTAATTAGAAAAAAAAAAGAATGAAGCTATCTGGTTGTTATTACATAAATCAATTCTTTGAATTATTTTGCTTGTAAACGGTAACGTCGATAAAGATTCAATTTTTTCAGGGACATTTCATTATTTTAGAATACGATATTTTAATAGAATTCTTAATCCTTTCTTTTCAGTCATTTATAGAAACAGAAAATACATAACATATGTTGAAAAATATCAGATCCCCTTGCATAGGAACTGATTAAATATATATAGACAACGTTAAAATGTTAAACGCAACCACTTTGATTATTCCTTAAGTATTACATAGTTTAATGTAAGAAATTACAATAATACGATCTTCAACTTTATAGGTGCCGCCACAACAACATATCTTTTAAATTATTAAGAAATAGAGTAGTTGATGTTATTTTAATTGTTGAATAATAAATTATAGTCAAACCTACCTACGGACACATATCGCGATCGATTATTACTTTCGTAGTCGTCGTAGTAATAATACGTGTCGTATTGACTCGTCGAGGGATCTTCGACGTAATCCTCATCTCTGGACGAGTCCTCCGTCTTTGAGTTTAAAGAAGACAGAATTTTCTCGCGCCTCAACGCTTCGTTGGTGATTTTAGAGAGCCTCGAGTCTTCGGATTCTTTCTTTGGATCCGTTTCAGTCTCGTACTCGTCTTCGTAAACTTCTTCGTCTTCCGCCTCTTCGTGTGCACTATTTTTCATATTTATTTTCGACGACTCCATGACGTTGTTCTCGTCCAAGGAGTGTGAAAATTGCTCCACCGTGTGGCTAGGAGATGGAGAGGCATTTTTCTCCGGTTGCTCGTACACCGAATTCGTTGGTATCAACCGTGAGAATTTGTCCCAAGACACGACTGTTCCTTTAAGCAAAAAATGAACAGATTAGTTCGTTGTAATTTACATTCGTCGAGGAAGGAGAAAATAATTTTACAAGACTTTATGTTGGGTTCGTAAATAAACCGATCTCAAATGCTTAGTTTTTTCAGTTTTCCGGTACGGTTGAACCAGGGACGAATTCAGAAGGCTTGTTTTGGGGCGCGAGAAGAAGATTTGATAATTCATAATTTATTTATTCTGATTATTTAAATACAAGTAATAGCGTTATCTTCTTTCTAAATTTTTTTCCCATAATAATGAACTATGATCGATACGACGTTAAATGAAAATTTCAATTTCGTTGGTTTCGTGACTTATGTCACTTTTGTCGTAACTTTAACCGCGGCAAAAATGTTTGTTATGCAAAGAAACAAATTTAGGATCGAAGAGGTTAAATAGCGCGTTCCGTGAGAAACTGTCCCGAGCTGTTTCCGAAAGAAAGCGAGCACACTTTCCAGTATTGTTTGCCCCGTGTTTTGTAATGCCGTTTGCACGAGGAAGAGTACGTTTCGTTCCCTCAACTCCGTGGAAAACTCGGTTGTAAACAAAGCCTTTAACGCGTTGCGTTCTTTTTTACGACACACGCGGTTAAATAATCATATTTTTCACGCTTCTTAACTTAATCCGGACGTACATCGTTGATCGCGGACCGAACTGTAATAAACGGGTAATTAAGTACCGGGTTGCCGCAGGTGATAATTAATTACGAGGAAACGGTAGAGTAACCGTGACGAACGACAATTTCTATTATATTCGCTGAACGTAATCACTCTCGTGTCTGGCTTTCGATTAAAAAAAAGTTCGCTCCACTTTCCTATCTTACGTGTGCGGCTCAACGAAGCTGAAACTTTCTTATCGAAAACGAAGGAATAATTTGCATTTCTACTAGGAATGGCCGCGTACCCGATATTTCGGTTTTGAGTCGTAGCCTTTACTTTCCAATCCATAATTATTTTTTTGGATTTTCCAATATTTTGGATATAATTATAACATTTATAATGCACGTTTCTAATGCAATTTAAGTATGGAGTAAATAATATTACATTTTCTTGTTATTAGCAGAGACAGAGAAAACGTTTAACTTTTTATTAGTTTTTAGTTAAATATAATTTTCTATACAAAAATGCATTTATGATGTCGGGGGAAAAATGAATATATAAAATAAAAAAATGAAACGTTTTTTCTATCCTTATTAATAATAAGAAAATTTAGTGCAACATTATCCGCTGCATAATTAACACCAGAACTACCAACCCAGTCAAAATGACCCATTCGTAATTTGCAAATAATTTACTCGACTGAATTTTTGAAAATTTATCGTAATTATCTATAAGAGAATATATAAACACTTATTTCCATTGCATTATATGTGTACTTATCCTTTAAGTCTTTAGAAAACCATAAAATATTAAATAGTACATACAGAATACAATTAATATCGCTATGAATCACGAGAGTGCGTAATATGGACCACGAGATTGGCTCGATATTATAAGAGGGGGGATTAATAACGGTGCTGTTCAATTATGGATAGCACACGTTTCGAGAGTCGAATTTTTTTTTGACGAGGCACGATTCCTATTTAGGCTTCGTTTTCACTACAATTGTAGGCCAGAAAATGGCACGGGCGTGTTGTTCCGTTGCGTGGAACGCGAACATTGCAACCTTTTACATTCGCTTTGTATAGGAAAAGTCACGGTACAATAAGCACGAGAGGTGTTATTTCAAAATATCGTCATAACCGTACAGGTAGATGGAGTTTTCCGTACACGGATACCGACGAGGAGAGAGAAACAGGGCGCGAGCGCTTTTAATCGGTCTGAAATCGTGCGAGGTCATACCAGTCGCTTATACGTTTACCTGAAGCGAACGGATAAAGAGGCTTGGGTAAGTGTAGCAAAGGTATGCATTTATAATAACTGCGCGATGGAAGAGGCGCATACGCGATTCTATTATCATGCTATTTTTAATTGCACGCATTATCCGTATCTAATGTACATATCTAAACGAGCAGTTGCATTGAGCAGCGAAATGTACGAGTGTTTGCTTTCGAACTGGGTAAAAGAGCTCTTTCAATGCAATATATCTGCGCAGTTAACGATGAAAGTTGGCAATTTCACGGTTCTGCAACCGCGTGAACAAAGCTGCACACACCGCGATACGACGATCAACGAAACTATTTATTGTTAAAATTTCAGGGCACGAGAGGGCGCTGTCACAAACTTTGAATATGTGGCTCTGCTAGTGGACTCATCAGTAAGACGACTGGGATATTGGGAAGTCGTTCGAGGAATGTATATGTAGCAACTGAGGGGTCGGTCGAGCGCTTGTGAGAGCGCGACCCCTCTGGTGGCGAGCATGGGAGGCGACGCCACAAATATGTAAATAACATTCTATAGATATAAGGGAATAACAATAAATGTCAATTTTAACATAACTGGTAGATACTTCTCGAATATTTCCTGTTAAGCTGCGGATATTTGCTGTTTGCAATATACAAATGTTATTTCTCATGATAGATACATGCAGAATTTTGTTAACAGTATAATTGAAACAAATTTATTCGTTGAAAGTATGTAAACACAAGAAACCCAAGCTATTATAATAACCTTATATTTACATAATTTAAAAGTAAAATAACCGTTCTTAAATGAATCTAGTTTAATACACATAATGTTAAGAACAAATGCGTAATTATAATTTTCGGTATGCATAATGATAGGAAGTAAAATGAAATATATTTTTATATTCATTAATCAATAGTCTTTTGGTAAAGTATAACTATAAAATTTGAGTATCTTTTAATAAAAATCCTTACATGTTGTTAAAGGTCGAGAACGTTTTTTAATGTATTCGGTATCGACAGAAATTCTTGTCCTTCGTGCATTGTTGGTAATAAGACAGCAAATTGTCGCGAAGAAAATGTATCGCTCCTAAAAAGTAATTATCGATGAAACAACAAATCTCAACGAGGTAATAGAAATTTAATAATTCTCGTGGCGCGATAGATAAGTCGCGATCGGTTCTTAGCCGAGCAACCTGAAGTTAAGAATTCGTGTGAACGTGCACGTCGAGAGTAGGAGGAGCGATCAAGTCGAAGGACGATCGAAAGGAGAACGGGCTGCACTCGGTTCATTATTTACAACTTCGTTGCCTAAGCCTGGCACGCGTGACTTCTCGCTCCTTTCGTGTACGTACACCCGTTAGAATTTCAACCGGCCACTTCCTGCTGTCCCGATCGAGAAAGTATCGAACGAGTTCCAATGAAAATACGAACTGGTATTTGGTCGTATAAGCGATTTCGAGTTGCGTCAACGTTCCGCGGGATTATAAAAAAAATCGATCGAAATGGCTGAAAACCACTGACGTTGTAGACCAAAGTGAGATACATGAAGATGCTAGGAATATTATTATAAGGAGTTATAAATGTAATAAGTTGAACGTACGATGAAATGGTGACTGATACAGTAGATCACGCGCACGTGACAGTGGCCAACGTCCGCTAGCTCGCAAAGTCACGTATACGTGACAGCGGCCGTCAAAGTGTTAACTTAATGGGAGACGACCACTTTTCACGCATTTCTTATAATTTTATAACAGCTCGATACTTTTTCAAATTCATACGTGTAACTCGAGCAACACAATTCTTTTAAACAAACTAAATAAGTAATCACTCTCTATAAACACGTTGAAATAAATTTGCATCAGAAATTTTAAAAAACATTTCCCTAGAAACAAAAATTCTCAAAAATAAATCATCCACTACCTATGTGTCGGTAGATTTCCAAAAATTTGAAAACCATCGAGTTTTTTAAATGGAAAAACATTAAGAAGTTTAAACAGATAATGCGGTTAATTCTCGTATACACGATTTTACTATAGAGTGTTCGACCACCCATGGGAAAAATTTTAATGGGAGATTCTAGAGGTCGAAACGAGACCAAAATCAAAGATACTAATTCGTTGATCGAGGCTTCTCGCGGAACGTTGACGCAACTCGAAATCGCTTATGCGACCAAATACCAGTACCATAATATGAATTATGGAATATTATACCATAATTGTATAAACGCATAAAAGACGTAAGACGTAGGAACGATGTAAAATCCAACTTATACACAACCGTGAGTAATTCGGCTGGAAATATTGAAATATTTTCAGCACGACCGAGAAATTTCAAGCAGTAACAATGCAAGATATTCTTGAAAAGGATTATATCAGCGGTCGGTTTCGTAACTGGAATAATTCCGTGGGCGTGCCTGCGATCGAATCGACGAGGCTCCAGGGCTTCGAAATCCGAGCGCGAATATAAATTAAGGCGAGGTTACGTTTCTCGAATGCGTTAATCGCGCGAGGTTTCGTACAAACCCATTCCCTCCGTGTACGTTACAATTTTTTACGTATCCAGGCTGGTAAAGTTCACTTGCACTTTTTAAACTCGAGTTCACGCAGCTCGTTCGCCGCGCTTCGGTTTAACGCGATACACGCTCCGATTTTCTGCTAAATTTTCAGCGGAAACGAACGGACGGTGAATAGAAATCGAATTGTCGCGGTCCATTGATCGCGTCGGGAATTATTGCGTTATTATAAATGAACGGATTTATTGCTGGAAACGCAGCGCGGCTGTCGACGAAAATGCGCGGTGCAAGGGAACGCGTATCCTATTTCGCGTTGATGCAATTTCTTTCGGATCACGGATCGCTATGAATGCATACACCTATTCTCAATATTTCCTCAGCGATTCAAGATGATGTTGCAATGTTAACGAAACGTCGGAATCACTTTCCAAAAGTACACAGCTTACGTCGGGAAGTCCCGAACAATATGTACCTTTTCCAATGAATGAGTCAATGTTGGAGCTCGACGATGGTACAATTTACCATGTTGCGTTATCTGTGTTGCATTCGCTATATTACTATACAGGGTGTTCGGCCACCCCTGGGAAAAATTTTAACGGGAGATTCTAGAGGCCAAAATAAGGCGAAAATCAAGAATACCAATTTGTTGATGGAGGCTTCGTTAAAATGTTATTAACGTTTGAAATTCCGCACATACTGAATTTTTTTCTCGAAAATGCGCAAGATTTCGGGGGTATGTCTATTCACCAAAAATGATTGTAATCGACCCCTGTAACTAAATATAATTTTTTCAGAATGATTTGAAATTTTTTAATTCTACTAAAAATTTCACACCTTCTCGAATTTTTTTCTCGAAACCGAATAGGATTTCAGGAGTATGTCTATTCACCAAAAATGCTTGTAATCGACCCCTGTAACCAAAAATAATTTTTTCAGAATGATTTGAAATTGTTTAATTTCGACTAAAAATTTCACACCTTCTCGAATTTTTTTCTCAAAACTGAGTAAGATTTCAGGAGTATGTCTATTCACCAAAAATGCTTGTAATCGACCCCTGTAACCAAAAATAATTTTTTCAGAATGATTTGAAATTTTTTAATTCTACTAAAAATTTCACACCTTCTCGAATTTTTTTCTCGAAACCGAATAGGATTTCAGGAGTATGTCTATTCACCAAAAATGCTTGTAATCGACCCCTGTAACCAAAAATAATTTTTTCAGAATGATTTGAAATTGTTTAATTTCGACTAAAAATTTCACACCTTCTCGAATTTTTTTCTCAAAACTGAGTAAGATTTCAGGAGTATGTCTATTCACCAAAAATGCTTGCAATCGACCCCTGTAACTAAATATAATTTTTTTAGTATGATTTGAAATTTTTGAATTTAATTGTTAATAACTTTTTAACGAAGCCTTCATCAACAAATTGGTATTCTTGATTTTCGTCTTATTTTTGACATTCGAAAAAAACAAATATATTTCTCCAAAGTAAAATATATTCAAATCAATTGCTTTTATTATTAACTTGATCGTTACGTCGATGTTAATAAATATATTTGCAATTGGTATCTCGCGAGTAAGTGCCTCAACGTCGCGCGAAGGGTTAATGCTGATATTCGAGTTCGCGATTTCTAGCAAACTTCGCACGCGAACTGGGACAAGTAGATTTCCATTATTAGTATCCGTTTGTTTGTGGATCTTCATGAACTTTCTCTACGGTCGGATTTCAAAATCTTCGCGAGCAGCGTTAGATCAACCACCTGTTACCAGTGGCGGATTATATCAGAGACAAAACAGGTAATTGTCTGGAGCTCATGATGTTCAAGACCTGGAATGTTTAAAAAAAATTATGTACTTCCTTTTTAACTAGGGACTTTGTCTCGATTCACCCTACGAGGACTAACGATGCTAACGTTAAAGTATCTGTTTGGCAGTACACAGAATAGATGTTAAAATGTTAAAGTCGGTGTCATTTTTAATATATTTAGAAAGTTCTGTATTAGTTTCAGTTGATGAAATAGTAAATGAGGGAACTTGATGTATCTTTCTCTTTGTTAAATATTGCAACGGTGAATTAAATTTATGTTCATAGGAGAAAATTCAAAAGTAGAAAAAAGTAGGTTGGTACTGGAATTTACAGATATTTCCGTTTGAAAGGAGAAAAAGGTAAGATTTTGAGACGTGGGAAACAATTTTAATATCAACTTTGAAGATTAAATATCCTTTTCTTTAATTTCAAAAGATGGATCTACGGTTTAATTAGTCTTTTTAATACAACTTTATAACAAACATTTTAACTTATCTTAAATAACAATTCTAACTACTAAATATTGAACATCTTTGATACTGGACATGTCTTTAAGTTGGGTCCACCAAACCAAGGAAACATTCTTAAAAAAAAATATTCCCTGTAATGTTACAAGTCTTCAGAAGCCCAAAAGAATGTGTAGTTTTCATACTAAAATTAACGCAAACGTTAAAATGTGTATGTTTTCTTCAAATATCAAATAATAATTTGAACGTTATATTAGATTAATTTCAATTGTTCCATCATAGATCAATTGCTTTTACACTCTAAAAATATACAATGTTCAACACTGCAATTAACAGGAAAAAACGGTTATACTACTGTATACATAATATCATTTTTCAATGCCAAGAATGTTTGCAAACGCTAGTGAGATTTCAAACACGATATCGGGCATAGACAACGCGAAAGAATATGCGTCGTCGATATCGCTATGTATATTGACACAAACTTTCTCTAGAGTTTCTTTTTCAAGGTTAATGACTCAGCTGGGAAAGAAGTTCGATCATTTGCTTTACTAATCCCGTAACACTATTTATAGCATAGGTGGAAGTGGTATTTCATTAGTACGTCTCATAAATAAAACGTGAGGCATTCGAGTTATTTCTCGTAGGCATTCCTAACCTCTTCGTGGAAACGAAGATTTGACACAGCATTTCGTTCATACTCGAGATTTCCTCGACTCGATGAATCAGTCTCCAACGAATCTGGTTTCAAGATTCCACAATAATTTTACCATCCATTACAATATATGTATATCCTCGAGTCAGTCCCGGTTGTTTCGCAATATATCTACATGCATCTAATAATAGAAGAATAATGTGCCCAATTTTATCCGCTTTTGTGTCGAACGCAATATGGAATTAGATATATCCGTTTTAGGGAATCGCGATAGTCGTCTGTCTCGTTATTGTTGCCAACAATGGAGATCCAATTGCGTTATCACGGTGTACGTAACTTTCGTGTGGAATTGCGGTTTTATTGTACATATTGCGTATTGCGTACCGGGTCACGAATTCAAACTATTCAATGTTGCACGACGGTCATCTACCGTTTATCTTGCTGGCAGGTTTCGAGCCCGAATTGCATGAAGTATTGTGCTATTCGTAATTGCGATCCAACAGTATTTGCGTATATCTTTCGCATAAACGACAGCTAAAACTTATTTAGCTACGTTTAACCACTGCACAAGACCTCCGTGCGAAATTACTGCGGTTTGCGTACTAAAAAAGGACGTAATATGAATCATTGAAAAAACTATGCTACAAAAAAGGTTATGAAACAATGTTGAAGCTTTCATAGTATTTTATCCTTCTACTTAAACGTTTGACTGGGAATGGTCTGCTAACACGCCTGCGGAGAATTAGTAGAAATGTATAATAGCAAAATGAACAAATAAACAAAGAAAAAAGGTGTACATATAGACGCATGAAAGTTAAAATTTACTCGTATTGTGCAATAGAGCTATCATATGTCCCAACTCAACGAATTAAATAGGTAAATGCCGTCTTATTCTCGATCCACTCGCGTTACGTTGTCAAAATCAAACGGAACCTTTCGGCGGTCACGGTTGAATAAACCCTGATGGCCCAACGGTAGTTACAAATCACATGGGCAGCGATGTACGCCGAGGAATCCAAAGAAGGCGTCCGTAGGGCAGTAAAAATTCATGCTAGCGGCCTGGAATCTCATAAATCTCCCGCGGCGCGTACGTCCGCGACGACGTTCGCGTATTCTCTGTTCTTAAACCGTGAAAGGATTGCGCGCGATTGTTCGCCGTTGGCGCGCACTGGCGGCCGGAACGCGAAACAGAATCGTACACTCGAACTCGCTGCCGTTCCAACAGGATCCGCGCGTATTTTTGGAGAAACGTACCTTGTTGACAATTGGTGGCAAGGAAGGAGCAGACGAGAAGCATGCACGTCAGGATCGCCTCGACGGGCTGGTTACCGTTCGTTTTACGTCTCGACATTTTCCTCTGGCACTGTTTCATCCACACACTCTGGTAACGATACACTTTTCGTTTAATACTTAACGATTAATTTCGAGGCAGTTCGCCCGATCTTAGGCTAACACAGTCATCGTAACGACGCCGAAATCGGCAGATTTCTCGCGGTTAGGCGCGTCGATGTTTATTGACGGGCGACGGATGAACGCATCCTCGCGAGAGAAACGAAACGTTCGCGATCACGGCGCGTTTGTCACTGGCCACGGATAGAAAGCAAAATCCCACTTTCACTTGGTGGCTGCGCGCCTCGCGAGGCGGAGCTGGCACGCCGAGGCCATCGAGATCTTTCCCTCTCCTTTCTGTTCCACCACTTTGCGCTGCCTCTCTTCCTACGTCTTTGTGACGAACGAACCAGAGGGACTGATACTTAGAAAAACCCCGGGGACGGGTTTTAGCAAAAATTTTAGAACGTCCGGGGAACGACCTTTCTTGTACCTTCGCGAAGGTCGGCCGCAACGATCGACGATCATTTAAACACTGGCGGACCTTCGAATCTGTATTTTTATGCAGCACTTGAAAAGCTGTTTAATTTTGGCAAAAAATTAGATGCGACAGAACAATGATCATTTTTAGAGGCGACATGAAAATAATAAAGCTTCGACTGAGATCCCCGGCGTAGATAAGGCTGCCCAACGAGGAGGCCTTATTTCTTCATTTTTAATTTACCATTCAAAATTATAGAAGAAAAATGGCGTGCTTCGTGTAAATCACTATTTAATTTTTTCCAAATTCTACGTAGAAATTAGCATATATGAATTTATTGTTAATAATGTTTTTCAAACGTGGGCCAAATATTTTAATCAATCGGTGGTGCTCGTTATTTGATCATAAACAGCAATTAAAAATTATAAAGTTCCGTCCCGGATCTGCTGGTATGCTTTCTACCATATGTCCGACTAAGGAACGCAAATTTACTGGAAATAAATTTTTCATTTATAGCATGAGTTTCGTATTTTTATTCGAGTCTTGTCGTGTTTTTCGGACATCGAAGAATTCGGCCCGAGAATGTCATAACACGGGCGCGTCCTTCGCGAGGACCTTCGTGGACGTTTTTTCGTGTCGATTTTGTCCTGCAGTAATACGTTCGTTAATCCTTACCGGTCGCGGACGACCTTAACGAATCGATGTTACTGCCGATTCCGAACTGATTCACATCCGGTCAGAAACCAGATACCTTCGAAAAAAAAAAAAGAAGAAGAGCAAGGTCGAGGTAATTAGAGAAAGTACAACATCGTGACGCAATGAAGTTGTCGACGATGCTCTAATAGCTCCTAGATTATTGTCGTAAGAGTAATATCAGCTGGAACAGGGTAGAATTGTTTAACACGTTGAAGTACGATATAATTACAAGGAATTTTTCAAATATGTGTACATATATACATATAGTATTTAATTTTGTTTAAAATTGTTCATACGTGAAATGCTCACAAAGGAACAAATTTGTTACATTATTAATCTTTTAAATAGGGAAATTAGAATATATTAAAACTTTGAAGTCTTTTGATATTATAATTTTTCTAGTTTGATAACAAATTTTAAACCGCAAATACACTGCGGAACAGGAAGATAGTACATTTTGAAATTAATCTAATTTTTCATCCTTAAATATTCCAAGTATAATTTTTTTCTGAACACTTTTATTGAAAACTTCATCAACTTATCTGGATTTATTTAGAAAAACAGAATTATCAGCCAAGTGCAGAGGGGGCAAAATGGCAGTACACTTTTAATTAAAAACTTTAAATATAGAACAATCAATTAATAAATGTTTTGTGCGCCTCCTTTACATTTAATATATTTTTATTGTAGATTTTACTCACTTCGATCACTCGTTTAATTAACTCCACTTTGGTACACTGCTCCGACGACTGTTTTATCTCCAACGGTTTCTATAATGTAAGATAGGAAGATCTTTGATTGTCAATCCAAAGCACGATTGTCGAATAAATTAAATTATTTTTAGATCAATATCCAAGAAAAGTCTTACTTACGTAAAAATCCGGGCGTGAGATTCAGTTACGAACTAGCCACCGCGTCAAGTCGCCAATTTGTATTCCTATCAAGTTAGCAGGAAGTGCAATGTACCGGACCCGATTCTAACGGTAACGACAAAGATATACAATATAGATTCATGTACGGTATTTTGTTTCGTGACAACGATACGAACTTGAGGATAATGTTTCCACATCTCGAAGAATTTTAGTCACCTACACAGGTGCACCCTAAACTATATAAACATTAGTAACATTATTTTAAGTAATAAAAAGCTTTACTTGTATTGCATAAATTCGTTATATTTTCATTGCACTATACAGGGTGTTCGGCCAACCCTGGGAAAAACTTTAATCGGGGATTCTAGAGGCCAAAATAAGACGAAAATCAAGAATACCAGTTTGTTGATGGAGGCTTCGTTAAAAAGTTATTAACAATTAAATTCAAAAATTTCAAATCGTTCTGGAAAAATTATTTTCGGTTGCGGGGGTAAATTACAATCATTTTTGGTGGATACATACACCCCCGAAATCCTACCCATTTTCTAGAAAAAAATTCGAGGTGTGAAATTTTTCGGCGAAAAAAAAAAATTTCAAGTCGCTCTGGAAAAATTATTTTTAGTTACAGAGGTCAATTACAATCATTTTTGGTCAATAGACATACCCTCGAAATCTAACTCACTTTCTAGAAAAAAATTAGAGAATGTGTGAAATTTTTCGACAAAATTAAAAAATTCCAAATTGTTCTGGAAAAATTATTTTTGGTTGCAGAGGTCAATTATAATCATTTTTGGTCATTAGTCATACCTTCAAAATCCTACTCACTTTCGAGAAAAAAATTCGAGGTGTGAAATATTGCGACAAAATCAAAAAATTTCAAATCGTTCTGGAAAAATTATTTTCGGTTGCTGGGGCCAATTACAATCATTTTTGGTGAATAGACATACCCTCGAAATCCAACTCACTTTCTAGAAAAAAATTAGAGAATGTGTGAAATTTTTCGACAAAATTAAAAAATTCCAAATTGTTCTGGAAAAATTATTTTTGGTTGCAGAGGTCAATTATAATCATTTTTGGTCATTAGTCATACCCTCAAAATCCTACTCACTTTCGAGAAAAAAATTCGAGGTGTGAAATATTGCGACAAAATCAAAAAATTTCAAATCGTTCTGGAAAAATTATTTTCGGTTGCTGGGGCCAATTACAATCATTTTTGGTGAATAGACATACCCCTGAAATCTTGCGCATTTTCGAGAAAAAAATTCAGGACGGGCGGAACTTTAAACGTTAATAACTTTTTAACGGAGCCTCCATCAACAAATTGGTATTCTTGATTTTCCTCTTATTTTGGCCCCTAGAATAGTTCGTGGGAATACTAGCCAGTATTTTCTTAAAAAATGACGACAAATGTATCGAAAAATTTTTATTGTTTTTTATGACCAACATAATAGTGTATATCAATTTTTTATATTTGCAATAATTTTAAATAGAATTAATACATAATAAAGTACTCCCCGATATTTACAACTGAAATAATTTTTTTCATCTTTTCCATTCATTTATCATTTTCGAAAAAAATGTTGACTAGTATTTCTGTGAACACCCTGTATACGTGCAATAAAATTCAAAGGTACTTTTGCAGATACTTGATGCCAAAAATAATTAAGAAATATTTAATATTGATTATAAGGCATACAAATTTTATTTATTAAATTACTTAAGAATTTTGAAATATTCTTAGGAAATTGCAATTGAATTGTACATGCGGTGTAGTTAAAATGTATTTTTGGACGGATATAAATTATATGTATAATACCTATGTAGCAAAATGCGATGAGATGTCATACCTTGTTCGTAGTAGAGTCGTTGAAGTCTCCGCTTGTTTTAGCATTGAAATCACTGCGCGATTCGACTGGCGTTGAAGTTCCTAATACTAATAATACACGTAATATATTTGTACCACTGTAATAAATTATTCTGTTCGTTTTAGATTTAAATAAGACCATACATTGACATTTTATTTGGAATAGAATTAGTTTCTTTATAGTATTACGTGCAAAAATTGTATTAAATCTATTATGTACATTATGTATATATTGTAATATTATAACATTTTACGGTTGCGTTAGTCGAAACTATATTTTGGGCAAAAATAATCGCATTCCCATTAAATAAACACTTTAATGCTACTTATATGAAATAAAATGTACAAATTATCGCGTGTAAATTCCAAATGTTTAAGTACTTTAATATGTTAACTTAAATATTATGTTCTTCGTTGCTTATACGAAAGTCACATCTGCAATGAAATGCTATAAAATATTAAAAATAAAATATACATAAATATAGATTACTGGGAAGTGTATGTGAATATGATCCGTTGGAATTTTTGATAATGATTTATTGGATAAAATATATTTTTGTATTGTATTTTGCTTGCATCAGGTTAAAAATTTTGGATCGTAAAAATGCCACATACATACATACATTTTAAATAATGCTACTGTAGATAATATATTAATTTTTGTACATGTATGTATTTTTGTTGTTGTTTGTAAAACTAATAATATTTCAGATGAGAATATTTTGTAGGATACTTACGGTTCGTCATCCAACAGAGCTGCGCGAGGAAAATAATTTGAAAATTGAAAACACGACTTCTGAACTGTACTCCGTAAAAATATCGTGCATGATTGTCGTAGATTATGCTCGTTTTAGATACATGAATTACATTTTCGAAGTATTAAATTTAACATCAGTTTACAGAAACTCATTGCACATGTTTTTAAAACTATTCGAGAATGTAATTAACTCTCGTCGTTGCAATTCCCGTGTAACTTTCATACAAAATATTCGTAATGGGGGTGCTTATGTAACAAACCTGGATAAAATATGTATAAAATTCGCACTTTATGATATTACTATATAATATTGCTAATAATCCTTTTGTAATTATTATCTATTTAAAGTAATCCAACAAATAATGATATGCTTACACTATGGCATCTTTACAGTATGACACACATTTTTAGCTGTGTGGAATTGGCGTTATTTTTATTGAATCCTATAATTACAGGCGATAATCATCTCGTGTGTAAAGTACTTCAATTCAACTACAGCTATAAGTTTCATTCACTGATTCGTTATTTGGACACCATATGTATATCATGCTTTGATGTGG